CTGTCCTCCCCCTCTAACTATCATCCCATATCCCTGCTCCCTTTCCCCTCAAAGCTTCAGGAAAGACTTGTCTTTGCCCGTGTGTCTCACTTCCTCAATTCCAACTCTCTCCTTGACCCTCTTCTGGCTTCCACCCTTTCCACTCTACTGAGACTACTCTTATCAAAGTTAATAACAACCTTATCGCAGCTAAATCCAAAGGCCACTACTCTAAACTAATTCTTCCTGACCACTCTGCTGCCTTTGACACCCTCAATCATGCTCTCCTTCTTCAAACTCTTTAACCACTCAGTCTCTGTGACTCTATCCTCTCATGGTTTTCCTTTTTTCGCTCCCAATACTCATTCAGCGTGTCCTTTTCTAATGACAACTCCTCCCATCACCTCCTGTCTCGGTTGGAGTCCCCCAAGGCTCTGTCCTTGTTCCCCTTCTATTTTTTTATTTATACTGCCTCTCTTTGCAAGCTTTTTACCTCTTTTGGATTCCACTACCACCTGTACACTGATATATCTCTCCTCCCAGGACCTCTCCCCTGCCATCCTGCAATGTGTCACTACTTGCTTATCCTCCATTTCTGATGTCCTCCCGCTTTCTGAAACTCAATCTCTCTAAAATTGAGCTCCTTGACTTTCCTCCTCCTAATACTGATCATCCTCTTTGGATCTCACTTTAAGTTAGTAGTATCCACATAAGTCAATCCTTGCAAGCACGCTGTCTTAGTGTCATACTTGACTCTGGCCTCACCTTTGATCCTCACATCCAGTATGTTGCCAAATCCTGTAGATTCCATCTTAAAAACATAGCCCGCATCTGGCCCTTTCTTAAACAAGTTGCTACCAAGGACCTTGTCCATGCTCTATTAATTTCCAGCATGGATTATTGTAACCCTTCTCGGTCTCTCCACTCTGCCCGTGACCTTCTCCTGTCAGCAGCTCGCACCCGTATGGCCAACTCGTGCTTGCAGTACTTCTCGAGGGTGGCTCCCTTCCTATGGAATAGCCTGCCTACCCGCATCAGACTCTCCCCTAGTCTTTAATCATTTAAGAAGTGCCTTAAAACCCGTCTCTTTAGGAAAGCTTATAGCCTCCCAGACTAAGCTCTACCTCACATACCTGTCTCTTGCTCTCTCCTAAAGGGCAGCAGTCTACTCTCTCCTCCAGCTCTGCTTCACTCCCACCTTATTTGATTGCTATTTCCTGTCCTAATGTATTTTATACCCCACTTCCTATAGAATGTAAGCTCGTTTGAGCAGGGTCCTCTTCAACCTCTTGTTCCTGTAAGTTTTCTTGTAATTGTCCTATTTATAGTTAAATCCCCCCTCTAATAATATTGTAAAGCGCTACAGAATCTGTTGGCGCTATATAAATTGCAATAATAATAATAATAACTCTGTATGTTTAGGCACATTGCCCACTGGTCTCACATAATTTATTTCTGGTCTTCCATCTTCTTTCTCTTGCATGCCTCTCTAGTTGGTTTTCTTTCCCCATCTATCTGTCTTTCTGCCCACTAGCACTCTGTCTTTTTCTTGTCTTCATTCCATGTCCCCTCTGCCCTCATCCTATTGCCTCTCCACATGTCACTCAACCCTCAGTAATTTATAACTCGCTCACTAACCCACCCACTCACCCACTTATTATAAAGGAAGTAAGAAGCTCTAACAATGAAAATCAATCCATCATTAACACTTTCACCTAGATTTGTCTTGATAAATATGGGCCTCTGATTGTTATATTAAGTTATTTTTATTAATTTATTTATTAGTTTTTGAAAAATTTAACTATTTTCCAATGTTATTTCTATTACTTCTCTTTCCAATACATCTAAACAATTTAAAGAAAATTAGTTTGTTTCTTTTGCTAACTATCATTTATAACTTCATGCATATGTTTAAAAAATTACATTCTGGGTTTAACAGTTTTTGCAACACAAAAGTAACTATTTAATAATTTGTAATTTCTTGTCTTAGATGTTCCAAAATAAACATCTATGTAAATGTTCGATATGCTTTAACTAATTCTGGTAAACATGACACTTTAATGAGTCCTTGCATGAAAAAAAAAAATGTTTACAAAGAACATTTTAGCAAATTTCTGAAAAGAGTAAAAATTTTTACAGAAAGGGACAAAAGAAAATGTGATCTTGTATTAAGAGGTATATAGTTGATATGGATCTGGCAATAATGGGGAGCTTTATAAACGTGTTGCTTAATTAAAATGGAGGCAAATGTCTAAAGTAGAGAAATCACCACGGTTATGTCCCTACTGATTTAATTGGTTTTCAAGGTGACTGCTTAATTTGTAAAATTGAGCCCTTAACCTTAAATACAGTTACAAATCTAGCCCAAGGTATTAAAAAACAAACAAAAAAAAAAACAAGTTGGTAGACAGATGGTTCCGATTTCCAGCATAGATTGTAGCAACTCTTTTAGGATTATTCACTAAAGTGACTATTGCCACAAATACAAGGTGAATTCGGTATTCATTTCATATGTAAGGAAAAAATGGGCAAACTAAAAACAGAATTGACTCAGAGAATTTTCTTTTAATTCGCTGCAAACTTCTGCCATTTCTCACTTTAGTGAATAACAAGGTAAGAGACAGTTTTCTTTGGTCCTTTCTACTTTTTTCTACTTTGATAACATACTGAATCCGTTTACTCTTTTAACTGTCCTGAATACCCCCTCAATATGGTTTACTAGGCCATACCTCTGGCTCTTCTCCCAACACTCAACTTGAGAAGACCTAAAACCTACTTTTCAGGCTTTATAACCGTGCCCCGTTTTAAGGACCAGACTCAACAATTTTGTGTCTTGCCTTCACATGACCCAAATAGAGTAGACTATTTCTTGAACCGGATTACAATGGAAAGTTCATAAGAGGTGATGTGCAAGATTGCCACTGACATAAGGATCATGCTCCGGCAAGCCATCATAGAGTGAAAGGGTACCCGCTGAGATATCAGTCTGGACCCCTTCAGAAATTAAGTTAGAGTGATATTGAATAACTGAAAGCATGGCTTTTTCTTCAGACATATTCCTAATCACTAGGAGGTCTGACCCTTCTGGTAATCATGCCCTCTGTTACTGGAGAATTCTAAATTAATTTAGACAGCAGTAGTTTTTCACAAGAGCCCTGTGTTGGAAGACATATTAAATAAACAGTGAGTTGTCGTAAGTTGACAGATTCAAACTTCAGATCAAAATAGACATTGTGGAGAAATGTTTGATTGTCAACGAACTTCATCTCAAAACCATTCAATGTTTAGCCAACTAATTTCGAAAGCCTCTTTTCAAGCATTTCGAACTGCTGTTTCTATTTTGCTCTCCAAATGAAACAATCTTGTAGTATATGACCTTGATCAAAGAGGCTGTGCATCGAACATGACTGCTCTAAGATATTTTACATCAGCCAGCATTATGCGAGCCTATGTTATACAAGTAGCAGAAGGGATACGTTTATAAATGACGTGTGACTGAATGCATATCCATATATCTTCTTGTGTAATGTGTTCATATGAGTGAAATGTACTTGTGTGAATTAAAATGTATGTATGTATAAGAGTGTATGATGCCATATGCACATGGATATAGTGTATGATGTTGATGCACCTGTATACATGAGGGTAAAATGCATGTGTGTGGCTGCATCCTTTATTCGCTCATTGCAAGGTGTGAGCCCTACAGGAGAGCCTAATGTATATGGAGCATACCTGACCGTGAATATGAATGCTGAAATCATTAGCAGATTGCACTTAAAAGTCTTCCAGGAAATAAAAACATAAACTATTAAAGGGACATTGTAGGCACCAAAACAATCTTAACTTAATGAAGCAGTTTTAGCGTATAGCGTATGCAGACTCACTGCTCAATTTTCTGACATTAAAGAGTTTAATCACTTTTGTTTTATTTTTATGAAACCCTAGCCACACCTCCCCTGACTGTTACCAACACAGCCTGCATTAAAAAATGGTTTCACTTTTAGTCAGATGTTCACCTCCTTTGAAAGTTTTTATGCTCTGTAAATTAAACTTAAATCACAGAGGTCTAGAAGGCTATTAACAGAGCAGAAGAAAATACATTCTAAGTTAAACAGAATGTGCAATAAAGGGAATTTAAATATTAGGTGACTATTTAAAGGAAGTGTTTAGGAAAGCTGTGCAAGTCATATGCAGGGAGGTGTGACTAGGGCTGTATGAACAAAGTGGTTTAACTCCTAAACGAGTTATGAGAGTGGGTACTTGCTCTATTCTGCAGATGCCCTTGCCATAGGTCTGAAATGTATAAAGCATCTTTTGAGTGCTTCTGACTTTCTCCTCCTGTTATACCTTATCTCCAAGGTGAATCTTAAATACATTTTTTAAATTACATCGGTGAGTGTGTGATCCATGACATCTCTGTGGAGCCTGGTTTTCTTTGCTCCTAGACTAATTATATACGCTCGGTTGAGGTATGGATAATGTGAGTAGATGAAAGCCTCATTGGTACACTAACATGGCAATGTAAAACTACTATAGTGCTGCTTCCTCAATGTATGTTGCAGGGAAAAACTAAATTAAGGTGATAGTAATGATAAAAGTACACTGCAATTGTAAATATATGGATCATTTGGTGCAAATAAACCATCTTCCAACTAAAAGTCAGATGAATGAAAAATGAGGAATATATTGCACTTTGAGAATCTCCAGAGTAATGAACAGGGATAATCATTGTAGTTATTTATTGTGAAAAATAGAATAGAAAAGCACCAGGCAGAATAATGTACAAGGAAAATAAATCTAAATACAGGCAAAACAAATAACGGGGAGACACTGTTTAGCAAGAAAATATGCATTTCACGTCTAATAGGAGACGCTTCTTCAGCAATAATATATAGCAAAGGCACAAGGGTACATCTGCAACAAACAGAAATAGTACACACTAATATGGGGCCAATGCAAGTACTTCTTCCACCCTCGGCAAAGATCAATTTTTCTGCTCCCTTATGAGATTAAGTTCCATTCTCAGATGTTTATTCACTAAATAATACATTTTCCACTTCCACCATTCCTAAACTTTGCAATTTGAATTTTACTTTCCTACATTTTGGTGGTTAATGCTCCCAGTCTCTGATCATTCTTTAACTGTCCCTCTCCCCATAGGCTTGATTTCTTTCTCTTAGCAATACCGTTGATACACTTTCTTTCTCATCAACTTTTCCTCCGTTTTTTTTTCTACCTCTGTTTACGCTTCTCTACTTAATCTTTCCAGTCTGTTGATTTTTGTTTTAAAAGTCTCCATCTTACCTGAGTTGAATACATTTTCAGCTTTGCTATTTTGACCTGAGTTTTAAAAGAGACACACACAAATTGCCTATTACACAAATCACCTAACACATACACACTGCTAAATAAATAAATAAATAAACAAACACACACAAATTTGGGAATGCACTGGATTGGCTTCAATCTCGATGATCTCAGGTAATGAGGTGGGGGCCAGCCACGGACACTTGCGCTGTGAGGGAGAAAAGGCCATAAATACTATTATTTCTCCCTAAAGGTGGTGCAGGTAACCTAAATCCACCATGGCACTAAAGCATTAGGAATACACATTATTATTCGTAACGCTATATTGTTCCTTCAAAATACCCAGATGCTTTGCCAGCGTTATGGCTGTAAGAGTACTTAGAGTTTGTTTGTCCATTTGCCTCTCTACAAAACTTACCCTTTGCTTACAGAATCTTGCTTCATTGACCATGTCGTAGAATCCCCAATATCACAGATTCACCTACAAATAGTCACTGTTGGGTGTCCCTTAACATGTTGAAAATCCTTTATAAATTTGGTAGTGTGTTTTTACCCTAATATTGCTCTTGGTTTGATTAAGATTAATAAAATTATTTTTTCAAATATTTTGTAATCATGCAATAGGTCAATAAATAACATGTTCCTTCTTAAGTACAAATAAACTAATGCATTTATCTGCATGTTTTCTAGCACCTAACATAGCATGTGATTTTTTGGGGGGGTTTATTCACCTATTATCTGCACGACCTGTTATATTTTCTAAACATTATTCTCTTCCTGACTCTCTCACTGTCCTGGCCCTTGGACTCTTATCCAATATATGCTTTTATTTATTTAACTTTTTTGGAAGTTTCTAAGTTTCTCACCCGCTGGGTCATTGGCATCTTTAAGTGAGATTTTGGTAGCAGTGAGTTAAGATTTATGATACGGGAGGACAGAGTGTGAAAAGGGTATCATCATCAGTTTTGGCTGAAAGAAAGGAAACATATCTTAAACAAAAAGGGAGCCTTTTCAATTCATCTGTGTTGTTAGGACAACGTAAACTATCCTTTAAATGATTAGTTCCACTTCAAAGGAATTTACATTCAACAGTGAAAATGCAGACTCCTTCTATTTATCCAAAAGGATTTCTCACTAAGGAGAGTCATAGGTTTCGCCCCTGTATTTATTTTTTCCTTTTCACAGTGCACTTAAATAAAAAGAAGGTTGACACAAAAAATTGCAATTATGAACAATATACCTGTTAAAAGATAGTGTGAGCTAAAACAGGTGATGCAGAAATCAGATACAAGTGGTATGGAGATGGCAAATGGGGAATGAAAAGTATCTTTGAAAGCCATAACCCCTTGGACATCTTCTGTTTAGATCAACAGGCACGAAATACTTCCAGTAAATAAGAGACAACTTGTTTTTGTGTATGTCTGTGTAAGTTTTCAAAGACCTACTTGTATATTGCATCATGTGCTATGATTAACAATGGCACACTGAAATGCAAGACTGTATTGTTGACATGTAAATAAGATTAGAAAATATATATGATGATGTCAGTTTTGGTGTAAAACAACCTTCTGAAAGTATGAATGAATATTGTATAAATTTTATAAATTCCGGTGCATTTTATTCTACATTTTGTGAATTGTCTCTTTGTTTTTGCAATGTTTAAAACACATACATGGGGTTATTGACAAAACCAGGAAGTGTGAATTCACTAGGAAATTGTACATTTTAGGCCGAAATTAAAAAAAAAAAATCTCAAATAAATTACAAATAGTCATTAGATCTGCCTGTGTTGTGCTGAGGGCTCTGGTATTATGCAGACAGTACTTTAGCAAAGCTTTCTGCATGGTCTGCCCTGATTGTGGCCAATCAAGGAGGCTGTCAGTCGATCTGACATATGTTCACAACAGGCTAACACATGCCTTTTCTGGGTAGCCTGGCACCCTTTCTGGGGGTCTGCCCTGTTTGGCTTCACTGGCATGCCCCTTTAGGCTTTATGCCGGCAGCAACCTAAGCTAAGCTACAACAAGAGGACTATGAGACTAAAACAGGACCATGACAAGAATGTGACTTGACAGTTAGATGGGACTGTAACATTACAGGACGGTGACTAGGTAGAACTGGTAAAGGATGACTGGCAAGATTGTTATTAGATGTACTGGAACAGGACTGACATAACCATTGATGGATTTATGACAAGAATAGGACTGTATTATGGCAGGAAGCGAACTGGGACTTTTTTGGATGCTTTACAGATTGGCTGAGACAGAATTATGACTTGGAAGACTTGAACAGAAGAGAGCTACAACAGACTGTTGACAAGGATCAGAGTTGAGAGACTTATGGAACTGGAGCAGGAATAGGCTTGCAGCACCATAAGGAAATGAAGGTTGTCAATATCTGTGGTAGTTTTTGATTATTATAAGGACTATCCGAATTTATATACTTACCTACTTTCTTATCTCCCTGATAACTCTTTGATATTTTACCAGACTTGTGCATTCTGATCCAAGCGAATGTTCACATTTTGGGCAACTGGAGACTTTTCCAAGTAGTGCAATTCCCAATCACCATATGGACGTATGATGAAATGCACTAAATGGGGAATGGTTGAGCCATTTTTTCCTCATGTGATTTGGAGGTCCATTGGTGGCACCAGAGACATGGTAAGGGAATATAGAAAAAGTAGATATTTTTTTAAATTGAAGTGCACTCATAAGCACATTGTCCTGCCATTTTGGTTCATCCAAATTGTTGTTTCAGAAACTATTGCATAGGTGAAATTTATCCTAACCAAAGAAGAAATTCAGTCTTACTGAACCAAAACTGATCTGCAAACTCTTTCTGCCATGCACAAGGCAAGCTTTTAGAGTATATTTTTTAGAACAATTCTAATAAATTAACTTTACTATGTTTTCTAAAGCATTCTGATGAATTCTACTATTCTCACTATGAACTGCTAATTAAATTAGGAAGGTGGAGTAGGATAAAAGTATATGTTGTTTAAAAACCTCATAAGTAGACTATCAGCTTAGAATAATGATTTTTATTTAGAAGACAATAAGGATTTTTTTTTGTTACCCAAAATTTTGGGTACATTCTGGGAATGTTTTCCCATCATGTAGTTTAGTAAGAGGCAATTCTTTGAACATAAAGAAGTTGCAACAAAAACATTAACAGAGCAAAAAAACATCTTTTAAGAATTTCCCTGAACAACATCTCTCTGTAATTAGGATGATGAAATATTGTTCTGCATAAATATGTGCCTCAATGTCCATCGAATTACATTTAAAAAAGAAAATAAAAGGGAGAATTTCACAGAGTCGTGTTTTTGAAAAATTTCTTCTGCAGATTTTGTAACAATTAACAAATAAGCAGTGTTGTAAATATAGGGAATGCAGTAGTTGCAATTAGCCTTGGGTCTCTGATAACAAGTGCCCATGCACCTTTGCAATCTCCAGCATGAAAAAAGGCACTTTTACATGTGTTTCTTTGCCAGCCTAGGACCTCCGAGACAGAAATGGTGATCAGAGAGTGTGGCCTATGAAGGAGAAAAGAAAAAAGATGTGATTAATGAACTATATGTTATATAAAAAAAGATAAGTCTTCCTATAGTACCTATAATTCCTGTAATAAAGTTGAGAAAATACTTTTATTTCAGAGAGAGCAACATGCTTACCCTTACAGACAGTAGCACAGAACAAGCACTGACTATGTACTTGGCTTCAGAGTTAGACAAGACAATTTATGGATCAGGGCAAATTGATCTTCAGGGAAAATTGCCCATGAAATTGATATACCAATGCATTTTCTTTTACTTAACACTACATCATCTAACCAAGATGCTTGCGTGCTCTGTCAAAATGCTATGGCAGGATATTGGCTCTTCTACCTAAGAGTGCATGCACCACCATAGGTCCCCCATGCTGTTTATGCTTACTTGCGCACTGTGTGCTGACCACCAGGATATGGAATGATGGAGAATGACAGGAATTTGGCAAGAAGGTGGCAGGTAATTATAATAGAAGGCAGTAGTGGTGGATGTATTCTGATAATTATGGAGAGTGTGTAGTTTGGGTTCAAGCAGTTCCTAACTTGATGGCTAACCAATAAGTCCCCCACAAAGATCTGTGTAAGCACTCTAACTGCTAGAGCATGCTGTAGTGATTATGGTGATCCCCCCGCAAAAGTAATTGTAACGGATCCCTGGCACCCCGACAGGGCACCTCCGCCAACAGATGCTTCCTAGCTGACGCTGAGGACAGTAAGCACCGCGCTGGACACCACAAGCACCGCAGACTCTACAACAGCCGTAGCTTAGCTGGGATTTTCTTCCTCCCACCCTGGACCAACCTCTGATATCCAGGACCATGTGGGAAAGACCTCTCCTACTCCAGAGAGCGTAGCAGGAACAGCTCTTATAAGAGCTACTAATTGGGAGTATAAGGAGTATAGCAATCCCCAGTGTGAATATAGCAGTATAGAAGTTCCCCTGCAATCACGAGACCAAGCTACGTGTTGAGGGTTCAGCAGGACTCTCTTGTAATGGTGCCACACTGTCCTTTTTTGCAAGTCCCCATGCAAGGGAACACTCCAGTGGACCTTGTGGGGGACAGGATGACAATTGTTACAAGCCAATGATAATGCAGTACAGTAGGTGACACTCCCACACATTACACACAATCCCTTCCCTCAGCCTAGGAGATAATTGAGTCAAGTCATGTATGTAACTCAATTATTTCCAGGCAGAAAAACACACATTTTTATAAAGTATCATAAGTACCCCAAAACACAACATAACCCTATAAACCCACATCCCCTGATAGCCCTGATCTGGTGAATAACATATCCAAAAATCGCCCAGATCAGAGCAGGGGTTCAGGAAATTCCTGGAAGTCTCTTTTTGACCAACTGCATGCATGGTTTCATGCCCAAAGCAGTTCCAGAGAATTAGGCTGTGTATCCGGTCTATTTCAAACAGTCGAAATACCTTTCGAATTACCGAATGTACTGGTTGATGAACATAGTCAGTGTGTGTCCATTGTTCATGGGCTTCGACTCACCGAACACCGTTCGACTCCAGTTCGAATAGCCGAAGCTCCCTGGAAGGTAACTGTTCAGCGGTGTTTGTGCCGTTGCATGTCCGATTTGAGTTCCATGAACTCGACGACAAAACACAGCTGAACACGTTCGACTAAACAAAATGGCTGCCACCACATGTTCAACTATACGAACGGCGACCACCCAGCTGTTCGTCAATTTGGCAGCGGTTAACTATCAGCCTGGAAGGTAAATAGGCTGCACACTCCACTTGCGTGTTGTCCGGCTGTTCGGTGGTTCGAAGTGGCACTTCGAAACGATTTGAAAGTTGGAAGAATCATTGTTCCAAGTCCCAATAGGCACAAATAGGGTCTCTTAACCACAATAAATTAAAGGGGCCATAGTCACAGGGTAAAAGGCTGGCAAGTAGTCCCCTCCAAACCCCAGTGGCGAAGTGGTTTTCGCCACAGTAATGAAATTATTTGCTAACAGGTTGACTTCTTAAAGGGACACTATAGTCACCAGAATAACTACAGCTTACTGAATTTGTTCTGGTGAGTACACTGTCTTTTCAGAGAAAAAGCAGTGTTTACATTACAGCCTAGTGATAACTTCATTGGCCACTCCTCAGATGGCTGTTTGAGATCCTTTCTGGCTCATGGCTGCCGAAAATGCATCCAAACATTCAGTGTGTCCTCCCTCTGCATACAGACACTGAACTTTCCTCATAGAGATTCATTGATTCAATTCATCTCCATGAGGAGATGCTGATTGGCCAGGGCTGTGTTTGAATCATGCTTGCTCTGCCCCTGATCTGCCTCTTTTTCAGTCTCAGCCAATCCTATGGGGAAGCACTGTGATTGGATCAGGCTACCATTTCTGATGATGTCAGCAGACTGCTTGTTTTTCTGAGTCTAACAGCATGCAGAGTTACAGCTTCAGGCTTGAATACAGTAAGATTTTGCTATATTTATGGAGACATGAGGGGTGAGGATGAGGAATACATGTTTGTGTTCCTGACCCTATAGCGATCCTTTAACTTCGGTTTGCTGTTCACCAATAAAGCTCATGCACGGAGCTTCCTTTAGTTCTCTTGAGCAAAGCCCTGCAGTGCAGTGTCTGCTCATTGGCTGAGAGCATCAGTTGATAAGCTCTTGACTTAGCTCTGCCTCCTTGTAATTGGTCCTTATATCTCCCAGGTACTAACACTGATTCCATCAAACACACAACTCTATCATTTATCTAACTCTATGTCCTGCAATGTTGGCCTGGGTAGGAATTATAGCTAACAGAAAATTGACATGCAAATGAAGGCAGATGCATAAATATAGTTCAATTGGCTTCATTAAAAAAAATGGAAGGAGTATTTTCCTTTGAAGGGGCAGGTGCAGCTACATGCACGTTATGTCTGCAGCTGATTTTAACGGCTTAGCTAAGCTCCCTCTGCACTATTTCTAAATGCTTAGTTCATACTCTGTACCTCTCCCCTTACCTACTGCAAGCAGTCTCTTACAGAATATATGGTGCTGACTGATACTTAAAGTTACATTATTGCAAGGCAAAAAAGACAGCTGCCTAGGGTCACTTTTAATACAGCAAACGGAAGCCAGTGACCTGGTTGCTTAGTGAGTTAATTTCACACATAGAGGTAAAGTATCAGGCACATTCATCCTTTGATTGCCCTGAGCATCTCCCCTTGCACATTAACCTCTCTTCACATCCACTTGCTCAGCACTCTCATGGACGATAGAACATCTCTACAGGTGGGTGATCGAAGTATGCTTTTCCTTTGCTCCCAGGCACAAAGATATGACACACTCAGACTCTGTTCCTGCATGTGTCTTGCCTCTCAATCAATACCTTGTAAAGTTGTAAGCTAACGTTTGAGCGCCCAAGACAAGATGATATGTTTTGTTTATTTTCTAAGAAAGAAGTTAAAACTGTTTCTTGAAAAAAATAAAACCCTTAAACTCTAGTGAGTGATGCGAGTTATGTGGTGACTTGTGTGATGTGTTTGTGTGTGGGTAGCTATGACTGTTGTGTGGGACTATATGTGTTTGGCGGTGACGGATGTGTGGGACTTTGTGTGAAATGTGGGTGGCTGTGTGTGTGTAGCTGTGAGTAATGTGTGTGGCTGTGTATGTTGTGTGCGCTGAGGATATTTGGTGTGTACATCCTTGCCACATATTACGATATTTGTTTTAAATATGTAATTTTGTACCTCCATCTGGCTCACGTTCCTGTTTTCTTGGTGGTGTTGGGGACTATGATTAAGGTCTTTGGGGACTATGATTGTGGTCTCTGGTAGTCTACTGGTGGCTGTAAACATGAAGGTCCAGTAGGCAAAAAGTGTAGGTAAGTGTAAATGTTCCTTCTGGACCAGAACTGCAAGGAAACATGCACAGTGGTCTGCACCCACCCAGGGATGAAGACCATAAGCATCCCCCACAGTAGTTACGTAGTGAAGGGGAAAAGGGTGTGCCTGGGCGCATTGGACACATCCCATGGACACCTCTATTTATATACATTTCTCGAAGCCATTCTTGCTTTTGGAATTTTCGCCCTCTCTTTTTGTTCATACATATTATTCGTTTGACTGTTATGTACTGTATATATGCGATCAAGCAAAAGATTTTCAATATTATTCAAGTCTGGGCACTTCCAAAACCCTAATTATTCATTTCATGAAGTAGTTCATGGTTGATTTTTAGATGTATTTTGATCATTATTTTGTTGGAATGTCCAGCCCCTCTTTAGCTTCCGTTTATTCACTGAAGAAATAATTTATTCATATTTAGTAGCAGTTGTATTGCTAGGGTCAAGAAATACCTAGGGCTTGAACAATTTGGGGAGCGACACAATATGATGACCCCTTCCAAAGCTCCCACCTGTCCCCTCCTAAATCCCACCACTGCCCTTCCCAAACTCCACCTCAGCACCTACAAGTTGCATCATTTGACACACTCACAGTTACTTACACACACATACGGGTTCACATGTGCACACATGGACTCTATACACAGGCAGACACAGACACACATGTGCAGACACACACAGACAAACATACACAGGCATAGAGAGACACACACAGATACACATAGACAGGTGAATAGTCGCATGCATGTCTTGGCGTCATATTTGATTCTGGCCTCACCTTTGAGCCTCACATCCAGTATGTTGCCAAATCATGCAGATTCCATCTTTAAAACATAGCCCGCATCCGACCCTTTCTTAGGCAAGATGCTACCAAGGAGCTTGTCCGTGCTCTAGTAATTTCCTGCATGAATTATTGTAACCCTCTCCTAATTGGTCTTCCCAAAAGCCATATTGCCCCACTACAGTCTGTAATGAATGCTGCCACCAGACTGATTTGCCTCTCACAGCTCGGTCCTCTCACACCTCACCCCTCTGCCAGTCCTTACATTGGCTTCCTGTATCCTATAAGAGTCAATTCAAAGTGGTAACCCATACCTATAAAGTACTGAACAATTCTACCCCCTCTTATATCTCTTCACAGATCCATAGGTATGCCCATTCTCGGTCTCTCTGCTCTGCCCGTGGAAAGCTTTTGGCCTCCCAGTGTAACCTTTACCTCACATACCTGTCTCTTGCTCTCTCCTAAAGGGCAGTACTCTACTCTCTTCTCCAGCTCTGCTTCACTCACACCTTATTTGATTGCTATTTCCTGTCCTAATGTGTTTTATACCCCACCACCTATAGGCTGCAAGCTCGTTTGAGCAGGGTTCTCTTCAACCTATTGTTCCTGTACGGTTTTTTGTAATTGTCCTATTTATAGTTAAATCCCCCCTCTCATAATATCGTAAAGCGCTATGGAATCTGTTGGCGTTATATAAATGGGAATACTAATAATAATAATAATAACATGCAGTCAAAGACAGTCTCTATCACACTCAGGCATTGACAGACACGTAGATGCACAAATGGAAACAGACAGGCACACACAAACAAACACAGAGAGACAAAGACATTGACAAACAGTTACAAACAGACAGACAAAGATGGACATAGAGACTGACACACAGGCACAGATAGACAGACACAGACTGCCAGAGCAGCGTCCTGAGAGGTTCCAGGTGTCTAAGAAATAATTAAGTTCTGGGACTGGCAGCAATAGACTATCAAGGCCTAATAAATCAAATTATGGTAAGACCTTACAAAGATGGCTGAAAGAGTGCCCTATCCATTGCACACACTATGCTTACTGTTTTATTTGTTTCTTTGATCCACTAAATTCAGTAAATGAGTACTGACTGTGTATTCAAAAATTGCAACACTATGTTGTATTCAGTGCACTTTTCATTACAGTGATTGTGTTAACTTATTTTCACCCCAAATCAACAAAATATGTTATTTGGTCAGAAGTGCCCACACTTTTGAATAAACCCATGCATGTCTCCATACATCCATGCTTGTGTCAAGTTTACCCAGCCTGCTAATTAAAGGAACACGCCAACCACCATAACCGCTACAGCCTGTTAATGGCACTATAACCACTATAAGAGAGCTATTGAGAAAATTATATATTTAGCATATGCAAAACCAGACTTTATCAATTGATATTATTTGTGCATGAGCTCCCTTCATTCAGTTGAACAGACCTGCCAATTTCTAAGTACAACTCTTTCTCTAAAAATTGTCTGCTGGGAGCTCAGCACAGTGTTTAGCACCACGCTCTGTTTTTCATTCTATGACGTGACAGGCATGCAAGTGGACCTCAAGGGAATGTTTCTATTTTTTGACAGTGCTGTGCTGAGGCTGAGTTATCCATTAAACATACTAAGCTTCTTCTACTCATAGAGGACTGAAACAAATTATCAAAAAAAAAATCAACAACAAAATGTTTTATTTTTCTCTAATTTCTTTTAGCTGGATTACTCCTGGTGTTATTTAGGCCTTGTCAGACCAATAAATTACAACTTTGTTTCTGGATCTCCACCTTTGCAGATTATTTTACAGCATACATTGCATTACCAGGGACTTTTTATATGTGACAATATCAATATATTAAGTTTGCCTGTCAAGTCACTGTTAATGAATGAGGAAAATATAGGTGGGGATTAGCCACAGAGGTGGAACAGTACCACACACAGTGGTGAAGGAACATATACTTCCTAACAAATGTAAAGAAGGCTGAACTTGATGGACACATGTCTTGTTTCAGCCTATGTAACAATGTAACTATGTGACACTTTGAAACATAAATGTGGGATATGGGCAGATCCAAAGCAGTGCATATCACAGATGCCAAAAGTGGATGTCCCCTAAAAATGGTTGTGTTTCTTTCTGGCTATCCTTCTCCATGAAAGCCCATGAAAGCTCATGAAAATACCACTCACATTTGGAAGAGCTATATAAGAGCTCTGCTTTGTAGCGCATGGACGGTATAATCCCCGTCTAAGGATAAAAAATGGTGTAGATGATGCTGGTCCTCCAGATGCAAGTGCAGGTATAGATGGTATATGTAAAAATAAAAATAAAGAGCAGAGAGAAACTCCGATAGTGTGGTATGTATGGTAAGTTCAAATATAAAAAATAATTTACTTACAATCTTCAGAGAAAAGGCCAACTCTAGTTATCTAGAGCAGGCCTTTGCTCTGAAGATTGTAAGTAAATAACTTTTTTATATTTCAACTTACAATACATACCACACTATCAGAGTTTCTCTCTGCTCTTTATTTTTACATATACAATCTATACCTGCACTTGCATCTGTAGGAGCAGCATCATATACACCATCTTATATCCTTAGACGAGGATTATACCGTCCATGCGCTACAAAACAGAGTTCTTATATAGCTCTTCCAAATGTGAGTGGTTCTCCTACAGCTATTAACTCAATATTTTTCACCTTGCCAAAATTGTATTGCACTATTATTGTCTGTCTTTTATTCTGCGGTCTTCAACCAACCCTCCTTACTACAGTTGTATGTACCATTTTTTTGTGCTGAAAAAGCCCCACTCGACTTATACTCGAGTCACTGTCTGTATTATGGCAACTTACATTGCCATAATACAGACCAGGACCGCCAGGCTCATTAAAGCCCGGCGGTCCTGTTGGGGGCTGGCAGGAAGCATTTACTTACCTTTCCTGCAACTCCTGTCAGCTCCGTGCAGCTCCCCCGTTCAGCTCACAGTGTAAGTCTCGCGAGACCCGCGGCCATTAGAGCGTTGCCATGGTTTACCGTGGCAACGCTCTGCGCGACACGCAGACCGCTAGACTTACACTGGGAGCTGACAGGGGAGCTGCACGGAGCTGACAGAAGCAGCAGGAAAGGTAAGTAAATGCTTCCTGCCAGCTCCCCCCCTGCACAGCCCCTCCACTGGACCACCAGGGATTAAGATAGCCCCCTTCCCTGACCAGTTAACAAGCAGGGAGGGGGGACAAAAAAATTAAATAATAATAAATAAAAAAATAATATATAAAATATATAATAATATATAAATACAAAAAATTAAATATTAAAATAAAAAAATAAAAAATAATAAAAATGCCCACCCCCACCCAGTTCACACACACACACTACACACACACACACACTGCATTCACACAAACACACACACTCTGCATTATATACACACAGAGTGTGTGTATATGATGCAGAGTGTGTGTTTGTATGAGTGTGTGTATATAATGCAGTGTGTGTTTGTATGAATGCAGTGTGTGTGTATATAATGCAGAGGGTGTGTTTGTATGAGTGTGTGTGTATATAATGCAGAGTGTGTGTTTGTATGAGTGTGTGTGTGTATATAATGCAGAGTGTGTGTTTGTATGAGTTTTTGTGTATATAATGCAGAGTGTGTGTTTGTATGAGTGTGTGTGTATATAATGCAGAGTGTGTGTTTGTATGAGTGTGTGTGTATATAATGCAGTGTGTGTTTGTATGAGTGTGCATGTATATAATTATAAAAATCACAGAATTTCATAGCCCCAAGTTCTACTTATCCATGAGGCATAGCATATTTCACAATTGTTGGTCACAAAACTGCACTCGACTTATAAACGATATCGACTTATACGTGAGTATATACGGTACGTATAATTCTGGGCGCAGTATACACTTTACTCTTTTTTTGCATTAAATCAAGGTCAATGTAAGAATCTGTTAGAAGGTATTTTATGGTGTATTTGCTGAGAATATAGAACAGCAACGTAGAAACCTCATTCTCTTTTCAAGTTTCATGTCAATCTCTTTCGGTCTCTCAGCCCTATTCACCACCTACAGAAAATGTTGCCTCCCTTTTCTATTCAGCTTTTGCATTTCACATTTTGTGATAGGAGTACCAAAATATCTCTTGTCCGGAATTCCCCTCGAAAGCCTTAACTTGCCTCAGTTGCGAGCCTAGCAAGTCAATGGCCCTGAAGAGGTTAAGGAGCAAGTTCATAGTTGGAGACATAGAAATAAAAGGACTGAGTTGACAACTGATGTTCAAACTGTAAGATGAAATAACAGCATTAAAAAAAAACTCACTTTTTGCGAATAAACTGCATAGATGATCACTTTTTTAGACTTCGAACCCAATTATATATAGGTTCTCGTTATTCAAAATCCTTGCTTTAAACACAGCTTTCTCAGCATGGCACAAAGGAGAAATGTATGAACCAAACATATCGTCCTACAGGAAGTCAGCTTTGATGTTGTTAGATCACGTCAGTGGAAGATAAAACATTTTTCAATTTATCTGGCTGATCTGTAGAAAGGCTATCTGCCACACAGCCTTGTAGTTTTTGGGGGGGAAGAAAAGGGACAAAATCACTCAACCATGCAAGTAAATGCAGAGTACATACAAGATTCAGCGCAATCACTCACTCTCACTCACTCACTGAACACCAGCTTCAAAGTTCACAAAATGTAATTTAAAAAAACAAACAAAAAAAAATTGATTCAAAACACAAGACTCATGGAAAAATAATGGAGATTCAGCTAAAGTATATGACCATGCATTGCATAAGCCTTCCAGGCCAAGTCCTTTGTTTTTGCACCCCCTCCTGTTACAGGTGCCTATTTAACCTTGAACTGCATAGCGTCCCTACCTATAGGCATTAGGTTTTTAGGAGAAGACCTCCCTAAAATAAGGTACATTGGCGTTGTGGCAGGCTTATACAATGTATGATCATATACTCTAACTAAACCCCCATTATTTTTGCTTGAGTCAGATATTTAAAAAAAAAATAATTTAAAAAAAGAATTGTAAGCTTTCAAGTTGCTGTTGAGTGAATGAGCTGGATCTTGTATGTTTTATTAATTGGCCCCAGCAGCACCCTTTTAATGTATGCATGTTTAGGTGAGTGCAGCCATCGTGGTTTCATAAGTAAATGTATACTAACAGAAATATCCACATTGTTATAAATACATTCACCATGAAATATAGCCCTGACATGTCTCCACAGAAATTGGAATCCTGTAATATAAATAAAGACACAGCTTGATTTAGGATCTCAAACAGATCATGGAAAAATAACTAAAATGTTGTATGTGTGTTTTTTTTCTTGCAAAATGGTATTTAGTGTCAGTTGGTTTTTATTAGAATTGATTTCATTAGTTCCGTACTGCTATCTATCCAAATTTGAACCAGTTTGGTAATCAGACGGACTCCCGAATTCCAAGCTAAAGTGAGACTAAATCAAGATTAAAATGACACAATGCACAAACATAATGACATAATGACCAATAAAATGTTAGTTTTGTGATTCTGAATTTCACTTTAGGCACCAAAAAAATAGTTGTTTTTTTTTTTTTCACAGATCAAGTGAGAAGTAAGGAATAGAGGACAAAAACGTAGGAGCACTTTAAAAATCCAAGTTTATATATTTAGTTAATATATATTATACATAAATATAGATATTTTTTTTAAATGCTCCTTCTGTATTTCCCTGTATTGATTATTTTTTCTCACTTGCTCTATGAACCGAATGGCAGGAAAATGCTCCTATCAGTGTACAGCAAAGTACATGCACATATGTATATTCTGCCATACACTGATTGGCCCATGTTAACTCTTTAAAAAAAAATTATTTTTAAATTTGCTTTCCAAATTAAGTTTTTGCTATCGAACCAAAATATGTCCAAAACACGGTCGTCCCAAAAATGTTTTCAATTTGTTAAAAAAAATGTTTCTGCCAATTCAAATTTTGCACAAGTCTAGTTTTTATGTGATGCGATGGTAGTCTACAGCTCACAAATTACTGCCACATACACACAAGCAAGGATGGGTGCAGGTTCGAAAAATGTGCATCCACGTTTATTTCAGAGAATTGTTTGGCTGAAATTCAAAACAATAAAATACAGGAAAAACAAACACAAGAAGCTGACACGTACAGGTCTTATGGAACTTGAAAAATGTGTCTATTTGCTAACATTCTTGAGTCCTGCATGTAAACACCACTGGGCGCAATGTGATGGACATTGGCACATTAAAAATAAGACCTGCATTTAGTAATTCATTGAAATTCTTTATTTAGAATATATTAACATGTAAATGTTGTATAAGTACTGGGAATGTATTCACCAAAGAGCAGGTCTATCACACACTAAATCACTGTTCAATTAAACTGAATAGTTCACAGGGGAATTATCTGAAACTCTTCACATTTAGTAACTGAGGATTTCATAGAATAACTCTGCCTACTAATACTAAATTTATCTGTGAACTGTTAATGCACTGACCACAGCAGAACTTTATTTTAGTAGTAAGGACTATTTCGGTAAGCATTAATGACAGTCAAATTAAATTAGATGACTTAGCAGTCAAAACTTCCATAGGTTTAAAAGAATCCTTCTTTATGAAATCGTTTGTGAAATCTACTCTCATATTAACTGGCAAAATCTCATGGGTTGTAAAAATAACACAAAATGATTATTTAGTATGAAAAAAATGAAAAAAATGAGCATTTTGTTAAATTACAAATTTGTCTCTCGTATCTCCCACACAATTAAATAGCACACAAGAGATTTAATAATAAACTTACTTCAAACTCGCTTGTTTTGTCAGTGGTCACACCCCTTTGTCACAATCTGCATAATATGATAACTGAGCTAGTCTATTTATCTACAATGTAAACTAGCACTGAAATGCAGGACTGAACCGTTAATTGACAACTGACAAAATTACATCCAAACAGAAATCAAAGTTTAACATTGTGGTATTCTAACAAAGTATGATAATGTGTGGGAAAAAGGGACACTACAGGCACCCAGACCACTTCTGCCCATTGGATTGGTCTGGGTGCCAACTCTCACCACCCATAACCCTGCAACATTAATTATTGCAGTTTTTATAAAACTATCCGACAGCCACTAGAGGGACTTCCGTGTTCTTAGAACACAAAAATGTTTTAAACGACGCTGGACATCCTCACGCTATGTGAGGACCTCCAGCGTCACCGAAATCCCCATAGGAAAGCATTGTATAATGCTTTCATATAGGGAGGTCTAATACGCGTGCGCGGCCGCATGCGCGTTAGGTCTCCCCTGCCGGCTGATGTTGGCAGGGGAGGAGAGTAGGCGGAGCCTGACCCAGTGCAGAGGGACATCGGCGCTGGACTCTGGTAAGTCACTGAAGGGGTTTTAAACCCTTCAGCAACATGGAATGGTGGGTGGGAGGGAGAGAGGCACTGCAGGGTCCTGCAGTGCCAGGAAAATGGATTTGATTTCCTGGCACTGGAGAGCCCCTTTAAAAAAATAAAAATAACTGGACAAGTATTTTTTTTATCTGCAAAGTTTATAAATAATTGAGTTGGACAGTTTCTATAGTTTCACATTTTATTCATTATTTATAATGTTTTTTAAGGTGAAAATCAGAAGTACCAAACTAACAATTGTATATTTGTAATGATAATGTTAACATTTCTCAAAAGTTTTAGAGAAAATATAATTGAAAACTAAATTTAAAAATTTAGGTCAAATTAGCAAAATTAGACAAGATCTATCTTGGGAAAAGTTCAAACCTTTTGATCACAATTTTGCAATTTAAAAGAACACCATAGCGTTAGGCATACAGATATGTATTCCAAATGCTATAGTGCCCAAGTCATCATTTAGGTGACTGGGTCCTTGCTGTCAGGGTTAACAAGGTGAGTTTAGTTACCCTTTCTACCTCACAGTGCTGGTCTCTACCATTCCGTCTCTTTGGCTAAGATCATGGAGATTGATGATCTCAACCAATGCAATGCTTTCCCATAAGAAAGTATTGGAAGGCTAGTGCGCATGTTCTGATAGAGGTAGTGGAGTTTTACACCACTATTTCTGCTAAAGCTCCCCTAGTGGCTTTCAGTATGACTGCCCTTAGAAGCAAGTTAACCCTGCATCGAATACATGGCAATTTCTGGAGAATGACAATGTTCTCAGCTGCTGAGATTAAACGGGGGAACATGGCACCCAGACCACTTGGTCAGGGTGCTTATAGATTCCCTTTAATTTAAAATATATTTACAGTTCACTTTTTTTAGTGAATAAACCATGAAGTGTTAATTTGATGTGTTTAATGCATTTAACACTATTTAAAAATTGTGTGAGATTTATTTTGCACAACCCAAAAGCTAAGTGCAAATTAAATATGTGCAAATTGTTTAATACTGGCATTTTTTATCTTTTAGCATGTGCAAAACAGCAAATTAATAGCCTTTCATATAGTTTATACTGCTAGAATCCCAAGATGCCATAAACACAGTGTGTGATCTTGCTTGCATGCACTCAGTGTCCTTGTATGGAGATCTGTTGGGTTGTTGTGCTATTGACATTATGGGAAGAAGAAGACTGAACTTGTACAATCAGGGCATCATGGTGAAAAATGTTGGTGTCTGGGATGCTGTGAAGATGTTTTATATGCCACTTCTCATTAAATGCTGCAATAGCGTCAGCACTGGTGAGTAGACACTGTATTAACACCAACTGAAATGTGACAATTTCTTTAGAATTTGCATCTTCTATTTTCCATAAACCCATTTTTTTTGTTGTAACACTGAAAATGTTTTACAGTTTCCCAAATACAATTTCAGAGCATCACTTCTTTAGCTTGTTATTTACTTAATTTTTGTATCAAATTGCAACTTTTATTGCTTGGTTTATAGACTGTATACTTGTTTTATTTCATGTTATCTTACATGCATCTAGAAATCTAAGCTAAATGAAAATCTTAAAGGAACACTATAGTCACCTAAATTACTTTAGCTAAATAATGACAGGCCCCTGGACAGTTCCCTGGTGTTCCCAAATGAAAGACACCAGGGAGCTAAAACAGGATGTCAGGTGTGGCAGAACCCCTGCCTGTTCGTGAATACCTTTTAAATATTATGTGTCTTTTCCTATGTTTTTGGGTATTGTGCCCGCTCCCTGACCACCCTGATAACTCAATTAGAATGTTAGGTTAGAATGCTCTCACCTCGCAACATAATTGGCAAACCTCAAGGGAAACAATTAATTAGTGCTCCCCTGAGTGGCCGCCCTTTTGTTAGATGAACGCCAACCAGAGAGATTGATCGTGGGTTGTTTCCTGGCCCGTTTGTTCCCTGAACGAGGACCTTCTCAGCGCCCCATTAGAACGTTCGCACCAATTATTTAGAACGTTCGCACTTGCAACATAGGTTTGAAACAGCAAGGGAAGTAATTAATGAGTGCTCCCCTGGGTGGCCACTATTCGTACCGATGAACGGCGGCCAGGGGGAGCATTCATACCCCTAAAGGAGACGCTTCCCTTGTCTGGGATCCACACGGGGACCTCGCAAACCGAGGTGAGTCGAAAGAGGAAACGTTGTGCGGGTCCCTGAGATTGGTGTGGACGCTTTTGGGGCACTGGCTGGTTTGGCGGACTTTCCTGTGCCCAAGGGACAAAGAGACTAGCTCTTTTCCCGCCGGCAGGCTTTTCTGTGCCTGGGTGTCACAGGGAGGGTCCCTTTTTCCCGGACTCCCAGGCAGAGAGCCTGCTGGGAAGAAGATCCCGTGGCATCTGGGGTGGGAAACCCTGTGTTTTGTGGCGGGATTTGGGGACAAAGGGAACAGAGTCCACTTCCCGCACTAGGGCCCCATGGAGGGGGAGGATCCTGTACAGTTCTGTGGGAGACCCCTTGCATAGGGATATGCATAAAAGCCGTGTGTGGCCAATAAAATTGTGTTGTTTCTCCAGAACTCTTGTCCAGTTAATGGGTGGAAATGGGTCTCTGTATATTCTAGAGTGGCTGAAGGCAGGGAATTAGCAGTTGGGTTACCCGGGGTCCGCTACAGCAGGAAAGGACCCTGAAATTGTGACTGTACCACCAAAACCTGCACTTTGTCAGGCCACTTTCAATGACTTTGGCCTATTTTTGTATATTCATCATCTTTGCCATCTGCGTTTAACAATCTGCCCATGATTTCATTATAATTTACCTTCTTTTTTTTTCTTGTGACACCTATAGCATTGAAAATATCTTCAAGAGCTCCCCATTTCTGGTCTAATCCTCTCCGGTGTGACCTTCTTATCAGAGCAAAACAGCAAACCAACCTTGGCCAGTATCTTGCTAACCATCACCAGGATGTCCACATGGAACATTTTGTCTCCTCATTTTCTCCTGTGCAGCCTGTACTATATTTATTTCATACTCAACCAGGGCTGTGTAAGAGTGTGTATACCTGCTTACACTGTCCACTTTCATGTTTATTTGGCACCAAACACATTCTTTCAATTCTCCCTGATGATCTTCACCACCTGCATCTACCTCTCTTCCTGCTATGTTTATTCCTCTTCCTTTTAATGACACATAATTCCAATCACTAATTTTCTGTTGCTTTATTCCAGTCAAGCTCATGGCACACTGACGATGCTTGCTGGCCTCGGGAAATAATATAGTGGAACATGTATAGTTTCCAGTCCTCTTGCATCTGCTATAGATGCAAAAGAATAATATGGAGTTTCCAGCTGAGGTATCCCATGGCTGGAACACACCAGGTATTTGTGAAGTAATCAGGCTCATTAAGTCAGTCGCACATTGACTGAAACTATTAAATTTTGCAATGTACAATTAAGAGAAATAAAAGGTGCAAACCTGTAGATACATACATACTTCTTCTGCAGCTGATGTAAATTCTGACACTCCCTAAATAAGTCTCTTTGTGAGAGTCTACTTGTACAAATACTGCTTTTTTTTATCTCACAGAATAAAACCAAGTTTATTTAATGGTAAACTTCGAACATTATAATGTTGAGAAATTATACAAACCCAAAAATATAGCTTTTTATACTTTAAAAGACAAACAGTATAAGCTTAACAAATTTGTGTCAAAATTTGTGTAGATTAATCAACAAATATAAAAAAAAAAAAACAGACCAGTTACCTAATGCTTTTTCACTGCAGGCTACGTTTTAACTTTAGGTTTAAAATATGAAATGTGAAAATGACTTGTATAACCATAAGGCTAAACATTCTGAGGCATAAACTCCTGATATAAAAAACCTTACAAAGTTATCCAGTAAACATCAGATTTTTCTGAATTGGGCATCTAATTATATAACACAAGAGTGCGACCTAGTGTCCCCTCCATGTGCAGCTGGTGAGGGCTCTAAATAAATATACAAAGGGGGTGGGCCTGCCTTTGCCCCTCCCCCTCCCCAAAATATCTGCCGTTTGACCCTCTGGCGACTCGGAAACCTTAATTCCCTAAACATTCTTATTAAAATAAATTAAACCTACCTACATCCCTCGTATTAATAACAATGGAGGGACATTGTAAATTTTAAAAATTATACTTACCATCGGAAGTCTGCGTAAATGTCAATCTCCTTTTCTTTAGCCCCTAAAAAAGGCCAAATTAAATTTCACAATACCGCAATGCAATTATTGAAAAAAAAAAGCCACTGATTCGCAAAAAGCCTTCTGAATTTTTTTTTAAGTGTAATGCAATAAAATTAAATCCTTCTTCCACGTAAAATGAGATTCAAGACAGCAAAGGTCTTTATAAAGCCTTTCCCATGATTTGAGCTCTCATTAGAGCGTTCTGATTGGTTGGCTTGTAAGCCAACCAATTAGAGTGCTCTGACAGACAAGTCTCACTTCTCTCGAATATTCCCAGTAGAGTCATAAATTGTACTGTGCAAAAACCTCCTTTGCATCTTTGTGAGAATTTTTATCCAGAACTTTTATGTTCTTTAAGTTCAGGCATAAAAGTCAATTGGGACATAGACTACTAGGGGTTAACAGAGCTAGGAAAATAGCCAAGAGCCTTTTTATACAGCCCTAGTCATTGGCATAATGGGAAATTAATAAGGCAGAGTTTATAAACACATTCTGTTCTAAATTATGTTCTTTACATCTGTTTGAAGTGTAGCTTATTAATTAGATCATAAAATGACTGAAATGTGTAGACCTGCAATGTTTTATTACGTATAGACAAGGTTCCAGAAAGTGATAGCAAGAGGTATTACTGAAAAAATACAAAGATGTAACAAACAATATTTGCCAGAAGGTTGTGTCTAAATATAGTTAAAATGAGATCTGGTTACAATAACGGATAATTCAAGTCAAATTGGAGAACTACAAATTAGAATAGCCATAACAAAGACCAACCAGAACACTTTAATCATATGATCTGATCAACAGACAGTCACACACATATACAAAATGGGAAAGCAATGTAGACAAGGGTGGAACTACCACCTGTGCAGCAGGTCCAATGCAGGTCATACAGTGTGTGGGTAGCAATGAGAATGAGGAGATATATTTGGGAAGAAGGAAATGGAATGTGGACATCTATTTTGGGGAGGGAGAGGTTTAATTGGAAAGAGGATGTGCCAATCTAAATTTGGAAGGTGCTGATTAGATGGGAGGAAAATGTGGCAAATCTAATTTGAGAATACAGAGGGTTGATAGGGAAGCAAATGTGGTAAAATCTAATATGGGCAGGGGTTAATTGTCATGGTTGTCAGGGAAATGTGGCAGTCTACATAGGGGAGGGTTGAACTGGCTTGGGAATTTAGAGTAACACCCCCTAGCTTTTAAGGAGACAACAAGTCCTGTTACTTCCTGGTTTGGTTTGCTCAGTGCAACTAAACTCAAGAGGCAACAATTGCTCAGAACACCTGCCTTGCAAAGACTGTATTGAGAAGTCTGTAATTGGACAGACACCCCACCCCTGGGTGGGGTTAGAAGAGTAGGGCTTGAAAAGGCTGCAGACAAGAGAACTGCAGTTTTTGCAAGCTGTTTTAGATATAACTCCAGTGAAAAAAATGCATAATTAAATGCATGAAAGTTTTCATTTGTGTGTATCTACTAAATAATATTTTTTAAAATTTATTTTGTATTTGGGCATTGTAGTGTCCCTTTAATATGTAGGTGAGCTATTGCTTGGCTATTATTCTGAGAATGTCTGTGGTCATCTGATAACGTCCTATAGAATCATCATCAGGGTGTGTTCCAAGGTGTGCAGTATCACAAGATGATGTGGAATGTGAGCCAGTGTCTTGAATGGAAACTGTAAAGGAGCATCTGCCATCAAAACTACTACAATCTAACCTGACAGTAGCATGTGCAGCAAGCAGTAAAAATAATACTGAAAACATTGACACCGCAGTCATCAGGATAGAGTTATAGAGCTATGATAAATCAATAATATAATAATAACAACAATTAAATAATATGTATTCAATTATATGCAAATTAATAAAGAAAAGATACATATCATTAACTATTCTATTTAAATCTATTAATGTGCTATTTTATATATTGTGACGATGGTGTAAACACAATTTTACTCCCCCCTTAAATATTTATGAATGTATAGGCTCTTTTTTATTATGATTCTTCCTAGACATTTCTTTTTAGTATTGCTAATCTGAAGGTGTGATATATGGTTGATTGGCTCAAAGCTATGTCAATTACCTCTTTGGACACAGATGTAACTAATGCAATTAGCACCAAAATGCATTTATAGACTGGTTTGCCATTGATTCACTAAGGCTATGGCTAAGCTTATTTAGGTGTTAAATGCACTGTGTGCTGACTTAAAACCCCCCTTTTCCTACATTCACTATACTATGAATTCACAATTAATCATCTCAAATAGATTTAACAACTTTTGAGCACTGGGTATTAAGCTAATTGTGTGACTAATGTTAATTCGACAGTAGCAACCACATAAATAAATTTTAAGAGTCCTGCCTTTAAGCTTACAATTCAAACTGAGCAAGGTTCAGATAAATGTGAAGAACAATGATAATACAGTGAAAAAAAAGATTATTATGCTATGGTAGAAGCACCTAGCATGGAATACTTTGTATTAAGACAAAAGATACAAGTGGTCAAAGCTTTACTATGTCGGAACTTATTAGTTGTAAAATGGAAACTCTTGCATTTATGGTAATACATAGAATCTATGGCAGCAATTGGAAAAATAGAACCTCAAGATACATCAGGAATCCTGTATTTTCCATGTATTTTCCAAAGAGTTACTAACAAAACCTTGACTGATCTTTAGTATAGGGAATATAACTAGATATGCTACAGATATTTAAAAAATTCTTACAGTTTTAATGAGAACTTGTATCTGTATAATGTCAGGGCATCACAACAGCTTTATAAAAATTAAGTTATTATGATAGTAGAAGGTCCCTGGTGCATTCTTACCTTTTGGGGTTTAACCCAAATGTTGGCTCTCTAGTGCTGTTCCTTGCTGTCCTATCGACATCCGCTTTCTTAAATTCATCCAGAGGAAGCACAGACAGCTACCATAAAAAAGCAGAAAAGGTGATTTGCGCACACAGAAAGAAATATTTTGGTTTACCTTACACTTAATATCTCTTTGGTAACCAACACACAGACAAGTCTTTGAACCTATATTAAAATGAGTTAAAAAAACACACATAGTGTAATCTGTATATGTTAGATTATATATACGTAAAAATATTTCTTCAAATTTACAATTTTCAGAGCCCATTAAAAGTTGGCTCGGTACTTATGGCGCTTTTCATCTCATAAAGGAGATATGTGGTAGAATTTCCAGATGTCACCCTCAGGAACTCGGCACTGTTCCTGAGGGTGACTACTAGAAATTCTACCATATATCTCCTTGATGAGATGAAAAGCGCCATAAGTACCGAGCCAACTTTTAATGGGCTCTGAAAATTGTAAATTTGAAGAAATATTTTTACGTATATATAATCTCACATATACAGATTACACTATGTGTGTTTTTTTTAACTAATTTTAATATAGGTTAAAAGACTTGTCTGTGTGTTGGTTACCAAAGAGATATCAAGTGTAAGGTAAACCAAAATATTTTATTTCTGTGTAAGCAAATCACCTTTTCTGCTTTTTTATTTTATCACATTTTTAAAGTGTAAACGGTGACATTATACTTGGGTAATTTTTAGCTGCACCAGATTGCTTATTGTAATAAGCGCTACTTTGCCCTTTATCTTTTTTTATATATATAGACACCTATTAAGCAACAGCCCCCCTGACCCGTTTAGAATGCTCAGCTGATGCTCTAAACCAATCAGTAACTCGCCATTCATAAAAAAAGGTAGACTGCGATGGCAGGAGGAATGACACTGGAAAACCAACTTTGGATTTAAACCAGGTAAGTGCCAGGGACCTCCTGGCATAATAAAAACTTAATTTAGATGAAATTGTTGCCAGTAAGGTTCCTTTAAATACACTATACACTTCATAAATATTCTACAGTACTATGACAAAATGACCAATAACATAGAAGCAATGTCAAACATAAAGCACAAAATAATTGACTTTGAGGTGTCAAATACCACATTTGATGGTGGGAAGCTCTAGGGCTTTGCAGAGTAGAAATTAAACAGGTGTATATTGTAGAATATATGTTACCAGGGCCAGATTAACTCAGGGATGATTGAAGTTCCAGCTCGAGGCCCATCCTGCCATGAAAGGCCCACACTACTGGTTAACCTGTCAATCTTACAGCTGTCTTTTCCTCCCAATTGAGTTCTGGGTGAGCTGCAAACTACGGTTTGCTCTATGATGTTATGAAGGATGTCCTTGGAGTCTGCAGCCAATAAGAATGCATGTTGAATAAGGCTGCTATGACCATGCTGTTGGAGGCTGCAGGGATGACAGGAATACAGCTAACCCATGGTAAGTTAGGAAAATAACTATTACATATTTACATACTACTGAAATGCCGCCCGCCACAAAAAAACCTTGCGCATATCCATTATGCTATGTAGTGAGTGTAGTGAATGCAGTATCTGTGTAAAAGATGCAGTTTGTGTATTGGTGTATTGTATGCAGCGTGTATAGTGAATGCATTTTGCGCGTGGGCATAGTGGATACAGAGTGTGTATTTGTGTAGTGGGTGCAGTGTAGTGGGTCCAGTGGGTGTGTTTGTGTACTGGGTGCAGTGTAGTGCATGCAATGTGTGCTGTGGGGGGAGAAGTTTTTTTTAATATTTATATTTTTTTCCCCTTCCCTTCAGGACTTCTTTTGCAGCCGCTTAGTAGATAACTCCCTAATTCTCACTGTAAGTAAAAATTACTTAGTATTAGTAAATTTTGCCCCTACTCGCTATACCGCCAGTAGGGGCATGTCTGTAATTTCGGAACTTCGGGACCTCGGCAATTCGGCACTTCGGCAATTTGGACATTCGGACGTACCCGAATGTTCGAATTGCCCGAAATTCGTCCGAATATTCAGACCAAAACGAATTGCACATGTCTAGCTGCCATGGCTACGCTCCACCCGGCACATAATGCAGGCCAGGAGCATTGCCTGTGGCAACTCTCTTGTGGCTTGTGAGAGAAGAGGACCTAATGCTGCAGGAGGTGCACGATCACTCCTGGGACCCTTCTTTACACGACACACTAGCAAGAGCCTGAGACTACATATATCAGTACTCGCTATATATATATGCAAATAGACAGCCAGGCCCTGCACGGCTGATTTTTTAAAGTTACTTTGTCGCCCCTCTCAAAGTGCCTCCTGGAGCCATGGCCCCACATTGTCCTATGGACAGGTTGGCCCTGAACGTATACAAAAGCATGCACACTTATAGAATGTTTCACATTACATACATATATGTCACGATATATAATATAAAGGGCTATACACTAACCCAGGGCCGCCATCAGGGCATGACAAACATAACGATTTTCGCTATATATATGTGCACTGCGGGCAGTGGTGTATCCTGGTTTTGTGCTGCCCTGAGCAGGACAAAACTCAGGCGCCCCCCTCCCCCCACGCCACCCCCACCCAACCCTTCCCCCCGCCCCACCTTCTAAATACACACACACACAGTCAGACACACACACAAACACAGTCAGACACAAACACACACACACAGTCAGAGACACACACAGTCAGACACAAACACACACACAGTCAGACACAAACACAGTCAGACACACACACACACACACAGTCGACACACACACACACACGGTCAGACACAAACACACACACACACATACACTCACAAACACGGTCAGACACACACACACACACACACAGTCAGACACACACACAGTCAGACACACACACAACACACACACACACACACTCACAAACACAGTCAGACACAAACACACATACACAGTCAGACACACACAGTCAGACACAAACACACACACACAAACACACACACACAGTCAGACACATACACAGACACAAACAGTCAGACACAAACACACACACAGTCACACACACACAGTCACACACAAACACACAGTCAGACACACATAAACACATTAACTTTTTTTAATTTAAATCCCCCCCCCAACCTCCTTACCTTTGGGAGTGCTGGGGGGGTCTCTCTCCCTGGTGGTCCGGTGGTCCAGTGGCTGCAGGTCGGGCGGGCGGCGCTGGCAGGCGGGCGGCCAGCGAGGGAGCACTTCCTATGAGCTGACTGCTCAGCTCCCTCGCGCGCCGGCTGCAGAGTGAGGCTGGGAGCCGGAAGATGACGTCATCTTCCGGCTCCCAGCCTCACTCTGCGGTGCGCGAGGGAGCTGAGCAGTCAGCTCATATGAAGTGCTCCCTCGCTGGCCGCCTGCCTGCCAGCGCCGCCCGCTCGGGATGTCAGTTAGCCGCGAGGCTAACTAGGCATTTGCCCTGGGCATTTGGGGGGCGGCGTTTTTTGCCGCCCCCTGAAAAATGCCGCCCAAGGCAAATGCCTTGTTTGCCTCGTGGCTAATACGCCCCTGACTGCGGGGCCCCTACTACCTGTAAATTGCAGAGGGGGGGCCCAGCAGCACACTCTGTCCTCCTTTCCAGCTCCTCTCTGTAACTTCACTGCGGCTGCCAGAGCGTTGCCACAGGTTACCATGGCAACACTCCGCACAGCACACAGGCCGGTCTTGCGAGAGTTCATCAGAGAGAAGCTGGAAAAGAAGACAGCATGCTGCTGCCCGGCCTCCCTCTGCAATGTACTGCGGCTGGCTCCCTCCACACTGCATCCTTACAAGCATACACTCTGCACTACACACACACTACATTCACTAAACACTCTGCACTACACACACTCACACTACATTCACTAGACACTTGCACTACACACACTACATTCACTAAAAACTCTGCACTACACACAACTACATTCACTAAACACTCTGCACTACACACACTCACACTACATTCACTAAACACTCTGCCCTACACACACTCACACTAAATTCACTAAACACTCTGCACTATACACATTACATTCACTAAACACACTCTGCACCACACACACTACTTTCACTAAACACACTCTGCACTACACACACACACTACATTCACTAAACACTCTGCACAATACACACTAGATTCACTAAACACTCTGCACTATACACACTACATTCACTAAACACACTCTGCACTACACACACACTACATTCACTAAACACTTTGCACTACACACATTCACACTACATTCACTAAACACTCTGCCCTGCACACACTCACACTAAATTCACTAAACACTCTGCACTATACACACTACATTCACTAAACACACTCTGCACTACACACACTCACACTACATTCACTAAACACACTCTGCACTACACACACTACATTCACTAAACACTCTGCACTATACACACTACATTCACTAAACACACTCTGCACTACACACACTACATTCACTAAACACACTCTGCACTACACACACACTACGTTCACTAAACACACTCTGCACTACACACACACTACATTCACTAAACACTCTGCACTATACACACTACATTCACTAAACACACTCTGCACTACACACACTACATTCACTAAACACTATGCACTATACACACTAAATTCACTAAACACACTCTGCACTACACACACTACATTCACTAAACACACTCTGCACTACACACACACTACATTCACTAAACACTCTGCACTACACACACTTACACTACATTCACTAAACACTCTGCACTGCACACACACTACATTCATTAAACACGCTGCACTATACACACTACATTCACTAAACACACTCTGTACTACACACACTATATTCACTAAACACACTCTGCACTACACACACACTACATTCACTAAACACACTCTGCACTACACACACACTACATTCACTAAACACTATGCACTACACACACACTACATTCACTAAACTCTATGCACTATACACACTAAATTCACTAAACACACTCTGCACTACACACACTACATTCACTAAACATGCTCTGCACTAAACACACTATATTCACTAAACACACTCTGCACTACACACACACTACATTCACTAAACACTCTGCACTACACACACTCACACTACATTCACTAAACATCCTGCACTACACACACACTACATTCACTAAACACGCTGCACTACACACACACTACATTCACTAAACACGCTGCACTACACACACTACATTCACTAAACACTTTGCACTACACACACTCACACTACATTCACTAAACACTGCACTACACACACACTACATTCACTATACACTCGATGCACTCACTACAATTGCACTACTTTTACTAAACACACTCTGCACTACACACACTATATTCACTATACACATTTTGCTTTCACTACAATCACACTACATGTACTAAACACACTCCGCACTACACAAACACACACACTACATTCACTTAACATACTTTGCACTACACACACACACACTACATTCACTATACACACTTTGCTCTCACTACAAACACACTACATTTACTAAACACACTTTGCACTCACTACAAACACGTTACATTCACCATACACATGTTGCACTAACTACAATCACACTACATTTACTAAACACACTCTGCACTACACAAACACACACACTACAGTCACTTAACATACTTTGCACTACACACACACTACATTCACTATACACACATTGCTCTCAATACAAACACACTACATTTACTAAACACGCTTTGCACTCACTACAAACACACTACATTCACTATACACGCTCTGCATTCACCACAATCACACTGTATTCACTATACACATTTTGGATTCACCACAATCACACTACATTCACTATACACATTTTGCATTCACTACAATCACACTAGAGGCACTATACACACTTTGCACTCACTACAATCACTATACACACTTTGCACTCGCTGCAAACACACTAGATTCACTATACACATTTTGCATTCACTACACTCACACTTTGCACTCACTACCATCATACTACATTCACTAAACACACTACATTCACTACAAGTACACTACACTCTGCATTCACTATACACACACCTACATTCACTACACACACACTCTGCATCTAATGCATGCATGCAAACATTACATACACTACACAAAACGTACAATCTGCATCCACTATACACACTGAATCCATGACACACATACTGCATCCACTATACACACTGCATCCATGACACATATACTGCATCCACTACACGCATTCTACATCCACTATACACACTGCATTCATGAAACATTCTACATCCACTATACACACACATACACACTCTTCATCCTTGTGGGTGGACTCAGGGCTGGCCCCGGGGGCCCAGATCTTGAGCAGTGTCAGGGGCCCTAAAATGTCCGATGGCAGCCCTGCACTAACCATCTAACTGTAACAAATTGAAATCCAAATTGCAAAATTGAGGCAAAATTGAGGCACAAGCTGTGACTAAAACTGATTTGGAGAACTTCTCCAAATCAACTATTGCTTTCTTAATTTTGCCAATTAAATCTCAGCTCACTACATTTCATGGTATATTTAATTTACCCTATATTGTATATAAGAGGAAGGGTGAATAAACTTGGCTAGACTTTGGTTTGCAAAACAATTTTGTTCTGCAGTTTTATACCACTCTGATCTATCCAGTGTGATTATGTTAGTGGAATTATGGGTTTATATATTCCCACATATATATATATATATATATATATATATATAGGCAGTTGGTTGTAGTTTTAGATAATGTGCGCAACTTCCAGTTAAATGAACATACCTAGCACCCAGCGACGGAGCTATGCTAAGGGGGCCCATCAGGTGGCCCATGCAACTAGGGCCACCTAATGGCAATGGATCTTCAGGGATCCGGTCAGCACTGCAACCCTTTAATAGCATGACCTCTGATTTCCAAGAACCTGAGGCAGCCCACTGGAACCCAGGGAAGCCACCATCTTGCACCCTAAAAGTAGAAGACGGGAGGGTGGCTTCAAATTTGTAAATTTTATATGCATGTCTGTATGTGTATCAATCTGTGTGCATGGCTGTATATCTGTATGTGTATCTTTGTGTCTGTATGTGTGCCTGTGTATCTGCATGTGTGTCTGAATGTGTATATGTTTGTGTGTCTGCATGTTTATCTGGGTGTCTGTGTATCTGTATGTGTTAGTGTGTGTCCCTGTGCATCTGTGTATGTCTGTGTACCTGTATGTGTGTCAGTGTTTGTATCTGTATGAGTGCCATTCTGTGTATCTGAATGTGTATCATTCTGTGTATCTGTGTGTCATTATATCAGTCTGTGTATATGTATGTGTGTCAGTGTGCCCCTGTGTGTCTGTGCATCTGTATGTGTGTCTGTGTTTTTATCTGTAGGAGTGTCATTGTGTGTGTCTGTCTGTCTATGCATCTGCATGTTTCTTATTGTGTATGTATCGGTATGTGTGTTATTGTGCATGTATCTGTGTGATATATTGTGTGTATCTGTGTGCCTGTGTATCTGCATGTGTGTCAGTGTGTGTGTGTCTATTTATCTGTATGCGCACCTGTGTGTCTGTGTATCTGTGCATATCCTTGTGTGTCTGTGCATCTACATGTTTGTACCTGTGTATGTGTGTATCTGTATGTTTGTCAGTGCTTGCATCTTTATGTGTGTCAATGTGTGTATCTGTGTATCTGCCTGTGTGTCTGTATCTGGATGTGTGTCAGTGTGTCTGTATGTTCATGTGTATATATGTGTATGAGTGTGTGGTTATGCATATGTGCATACATATCAGCATTCAAAAGCCAACACTACACACAAATACAACCCTGCATTCAAATGTCAACGCTACATACAGACACCACTACATTCAAAGGTAAACACTACACACAGGTAAACCACTGCTTTCAAATGGCTACAGTACATAAAAACACAAAACACAAGCTTTTACATTCACACACACATGCTTGCATTCAAACACAGAAACACTGCTCAGTGCTAAATACAAGGATGGGCACATGGTAGATCCCCAGCTGGCAAAGTATTGTGGAAGTTGTACGACAGATAGCGATCTACCTTTTGGTCATCCTTACTATAGAGGGGGACCAAAACATTTTTTGCACCAGGGCCCTCTCTACTCTAGTTCCGCCACTGCTAGCACCATAACCACTAGAGCTTGTTGCTTCCGCCTCTGCCAAGTTCTCTGTCTGAGCTAAGCCCTGCACTGCATGGCTTAGCTGACTGGTTGACAGTGATCAGTAGATGCTCTCAGGTAATGAGCTCACCCTGCACTACATTACTTAAGTGGCTTGATTACTTTGGAATATAGTTATTGTTAAGATAGATAATTTGGATAACAGGAGAAATAACTAATAGTAATTGATTTCAGCAATTTTAAGTTTCATGATAAATATCTAATGTTGGACCTTGATATTCGTGAGTAGGACATGTTTTGATTCTTGTATTCTGAATAGGGCAGATTGAGACTCTGAAGGTTTGAGTGGTTTCCTGATGATTGTCCAAGAGGAGGTGCTGTACTTTAAACTTTTATTTTCCAAGATGGTTAGATGTATTGCGCTTGCCTTGGTGATGCCAGTGATGAGAGAGGATATTCACCACTTATTTTACATTTAGTAAGATACTTTATAACAGTGTTCTGCAACGTCTTAGCACCTGCGGCCCGGCAAAAAGAGGAGAATAGTTTTGCGGACCGGCGTCAGTCAGAAATAAAAACCAATGGTATGTGTGAGGGATGCAGTGTGTGTGTTAGGGGTGCTGTGTGTGTGAGGGATGCAGTCCTGCGGTCCTGCAGAGCCGGCAGGGGAGAGGGAGGCACGGTTCCCGGTGCTATGATCATAAGATCATAACATCATAGCACCGAGGAAATATTGTGGAGGAAATATTTTGCGGCAATTTATTGCCGGTCTGAGAAAGCTTTCACCCAATGGCATAGCCAGATGAAAGCTTTCACAGACCGGCAATACATTCTTGCGGCCAGGCGCCGTTTCACTGACCAGTGGTTATAGACCACTGCTTTAAAAGACAGAATATCATACTGTGATGAAGAGATATATCCTGATTTCAGCATGGTCAGTGTTACGTTATATGACTCTTGTTAGCAAGACATTAAATATAATGGGGTCGTATTGATCCCAAATTGAGTTTCAAAATAGCATCTAGTCACATCCTTCTCAACACAATATAGAAACACGCTCAATACTTAATAAGATCAATACAATGATATGATATACATAGCAAATAGAAACGGGCTACAACAAGACACAGAGCACAGAGCATGAAACTGTATGGGATGGAACTACCACAGAAATGTAACGCTATGGGAAATAGCTGGGTTAAGAATACCTACTCAAACTATAGACCATCTCTGATTACATATCTTTTGGTATGAAACAGTATGCAAGAGTACAGAATCAATACCTGAAGGCAGACCACAGAGAGAAAGTAATCACTTTCTACATTAGCATGTGTGGTTATCAGAATCCCAGCTATTATAGAACTAAATGTCTCATAATGCCTCCCCCAGCCTTTTGGCCTGGGAAAGAAAGAGAGAGGTGGGGGAGGGCTTCACAAATATTGGAGATGAGAGAGAGAGACACAGGAAGGGAAGGGTTGGTTGAATGATGGATTTACAAATAGTGGAGATGGGAGAGAAACACTAAAAGGGGGAGATGGGATATGGTGGCACGTGTAGGGATTGGTGAGGGAGGTAGACACTATGGGAGAGAGGTGGGGGCTTACAAAAGTGGGGTTGAAGATAAACACAAGTGGGACAAAATAGGCAGAGGAGGGAGACACAAGTGGCAAAACAAGATGGGGATGACACAATGGGTGTGTTAGGATGGGACGAGCCTTAAGTAAGGGAGATATACAGGGTTGCAGGGATGGGAGTGAGATACATGTCTGGATGAAGTAAGTTGAAACAAGAAAGGAAAATCATACATTCAGATTCATAAATACATAACCGCTCCAAACAAAATCACACCAGTATTCATGCACATACACACAACCTTGTTAGATCCATATATATAGACACTCCACACAAATCAGAGTCCATATGCCAAAAGAGTTAATGAAACTTGGCCAAATCTAGCTATACACAGTACAAATATTATAGACAGATATTGAGTAAACATTGCACGCTAAAATATTTTACAAATGTGACCTTATATATAGTATGAGATTTGTCACAATTTTATTTTAGTTCTGTTTTATGAGAAGTATAGCATTTTTTTTTTTTTAGTTTTGCACTGATGTTTTCATGTATAGGAAGAAATATTAAAATAATTGCATCTCATGCATTTCTTACACAAATTATCTAGGCAAGGCAGGGAATGAAGCAAACCTTGCGCTCCAGCGGATTATAGAGTAAAGCATAATCACAATTCTAAATACCATTCAGCTGGCTGGCTGTGATGGGAGTTTACTATTCATATTTTTTTTTTTTCACAATTGTAGTCATAAAAAAGGAATAAGGTAGCATTTTCCTTTACGGGCTTTATGGAATAAATCTGCCATCATCCTTACTCTAATGGCTGCCTAGATGTGTTGGGAGTTAAAATCAACTCAGGTATATTGTAAGGTTGTCATTTTCCATAATTTAAACATGACAACATATATTTAAATAGACTAAATCATCAGTAAAAAGAAACCCTATTTATTAATTCCAATTACCAGTCAAACCCTTTAATACAAACCTCAAGGTGATGAAGAAATCACCTGCTGGGTAGACTTTTTTTTTTTTTTTTACAAATGATTGCTGGAAAAGGAAGGAAGACTCTGCATGTTCCATATGAGAACTAATAGTTATATGAGAGAAATTAATTGCATTGCTATTTGGTGTACCATATTCAGGATTAGGTTTGATGATGTTCATTACTGCAGAACAGGAGGATTGTATTATAACTGTTGTGCTGACTATAAAAATGTGTAGCTGCTAACATACAGTTATAGATGCATCCTTTTTGCCTTGCTAAATTATTGTGTTCAATGTAAAGTCATAAACATAAAAAAAATGTAAATAACAAAGAGAACATGTAAGGTTTTTTTTACTAAGTGATTGGCTTTGTGAAATATTTATTGTCATGGCATTTACATACTGTGTCAGAAGGGAATATTTCTAATACTCAGTAGGATTATTATTTAGTAAAGTAAATCCAGTGGAAATGTATCTAGAACAGTTCTTGTTTTTATTTTGTATCTTAACATAAAGATGGGAAAAACATTTCCCACTAACGCTAAAAGATGTCAAACAGAACCATGTTTTAGACATCAAAGGGTGATGTTGTGTATTTTTTTTTTTAATTAAATGGCATAAATGTAAGTTTGTCACACATCCAAATGTTTTAGATAAAGCACTTTGAAACAGATATACATAGTTAAAAGATCAGAAAACATGTTATTCCCCTTTTAAAATAAACTGTAACTGTTTTTTCATTTACCTGCTGACATTTATTAAATTATTTGTATGTGTGTGTGTAAGTATTTACATATAGTATATACGTTGTGCTTGCACTCCTTAATAAATCCAACTATTGCCCGGTGCTGGTGGGGCAGCAAAGTACAAAAATCCAAAGTATGACCGCACTCCAAGGACTGAATTGAAAATTTTAAATATAACTTTTAATTCATAATATTCAAGAACAAATCGACATTTAAACTCCCACCTGGAGCTTTCATGTCATCCTGATGAAAGCTCCAGGTGGGAGCTGAAACATCGATTTGTTCATATGTTGGATTTATATATATAAATCCAACATATGAACAAATCGATGTATATATATATATATATATACACACACACACAGATACTTTTATAAATGTCAATATATATATATATATATACACACACACGCACATATATACATATATATATATATATATATATACCTATATATACCTTTATATATATATATAAAACAAACCTAAAATAAAAGGACTACAAATGTTCACTAAAATAAAGTATTAATGTAAACAATCTTAGTTCAGTATATAATATCGGCAGGTGTATAGAATAAGTGTTCTAACTGTTCGGTCTCCAAACAAAATATACTAATAACTATAAAAGTAGTTTGTGATGAAATAAATGATAATTAACAAGCTTGCACCCATTATATTTAACACCTTATTCCTCCTCTGATATGCAACAATTTATGTTTCTAATGTATCATTAAGAGAATATGTGACATTTATTTAAGGATATTTAAATAAAAATATGAACAAATATTATACATGATATTCCCTTTACTGCAGTTTTTTTTCATATATTTATTTATTTATTTATTTAACAATAATCATATATCTATATATATATATGTGTGTGTGTGTGTGTGTAATTATATCACAAACACACATATATATTTAAATAATCACATGTAGATATAATATATATATATATATATATGCAATTTAAATTAATGTTTAATTTATTTCATGAAACACAGCAACATAATTTTATATTTCTTGTAAAATAAAGAGCAATTTGATAACATTTTAATTACAATTTCATATGTTAAGATAGATTATAAATGTTTAGCATGCACTTTATCCCTTTCCCTTATTTTTCTTTATTTTAGTTTTCTTATGTTATTATTAATGTTATTATTGCTCGTTAAAATGTTGAAAAATGTCTTAATAAAAACAATTTGAAGAAAATATAGTTAATTACTCTAATATTTATCTTTATTTTGTCCTATATCACTCGATTCTTTTATGAAGCAACAATTTCAGCAGCAAATAAAAAAATGAAACAGGGTTTTATTTCATTAAAATTACAACAAAAACTGCATAGAATACTACCAAATTTCAATATTTTACTTAAATATCTTACTAACTCTGTTTCTAACAAATAACTACTTAATTTAAAAATGTAACAAATGTTTTTGAAAACAATTCGTAATTCTTGTCTTAGAGCTAAGGAAAAATGAAAAATTTAGTTTATAGCATATATATTGAAAACCAATTACAAGCAATTTAATTAATTTAAATCTATTGATTTATGATAGCTTGTGATATTCTATAGCTGTGTAAAAAATAAAGTTTTGTCTGTTTACATATATGCATGTTCAAATAGCTATACTATCTATACATGTGCAGATGTTATATATAAATATATGTATCTTTGTATATATGTTAAAGGAGATAGCTTGCTCTCACTGTCTTTAAAGTTCCATGCTTTATTGAAGAAATATTAAAATCTGGGTCTACATATATTATAGATATACATCTATCTATTTATCTATCTATCGTAACTCATTTTAGGTAAAATAAATGTGTATCCTACAAATAGAAATGAAGTAATATAAAAGTGACACAATATAAGACTTTCAAATTTAATTTAAATGTAGTAATTTAGTTAATTTGTAACATCAACTGCCAAGAAGGCAGTCATAAGATAATCTATAATGTTTAATTAGTGCAGTGTTTAGAAGGCTAGGTGAACTAACATACAATAGTTATGTCAAACAACTAGAAATTTAATTTGGCATGAAATATTCTAATTTTAATACATTTTTATTCAAAAAGAAATAACACATACATTACTAAAACACTATACAACTCAATGATTGTATAGCAATGAAATATATATTTGGACATTCTATCCCTAAATATCCACCAATACTGAAATGCTCTTAATCTAAACTATTATATTTGTCACTCAAGCATTTATTGTTTTTGTAAATATCTTTATAAAGCAGTAATAAAAAGAAAAACAAATATAAAAGTAGTATTTAAAAGAAAAATACTAAAAGCTGAACAATAATTTTTTTACCGAGCTGTGATTAGAATTTTCACAAATTAGCTATTGTTGCTTAAATTTGCAATTCAGCTTTCAATTGGCCATTATATTTAGTGAGTAAACCCCAAAGTCTTTATACATTTCCAGTTTGAGGCTTTTAAACTATCAATGTGAAATTCATTAATTAACAAATATCGTTGAAGTTTTAAGTTGAAAATACAAAAGAAATGTTCAATACAGTGACACCTAAATACTATTGTATCAAGATTCTATCCTATTTTCACCAGTTCATTAACTGATTACTCCATCAATACATTAGTTTAAAGTATGGACACCTTGTGATAAATTGAGCAGCGTATGCTAAATCGTGCAACTGGTAAACTATACTCATTAGATTTGATGCTTCCAAAGTTTTTACAGAAACAATACCAAAATGTTAATCAAGAAGTTAGATTCTGGTATCTCTCATGCAAATATAATGAAAATGTGTTTATTCTGCTTAAGAATCCTGTTAAATATTTATTTTATCCTTCTTCTAATTGCATCCCAATACAAGCTACTATGCAGCTATGCATTGAGTTTGCTGTATTGTATTTCAGTAAACAGGGCTTGAGATTATACCTTTCCTTAGATTTACAATAAAGTAATAAATGAAACAGACAGAGCAGTACACATATACAAAATGTATCTGACAGTTTTTCCATTTTCATAAGAAGAGCTTGTGTTTTTAAATATTTTAGTAATCTTTTTAAATTGCAGTCTTACATTTGATTTATTTTTTTTTAACTATAAATCAGATTTTTCTAATAATAGCTTGATAAAGGGAGTAAAAATATATTAGTGTAATATGACTAGGAACATAGCATATGTAATAATCTACAGTTAACAATATTAAACAGTAGGGGACACGTGTTGTCTATCTGTGTTCTGTCTATCTGTATTCTACTATAGGTACACATAGGTATATTCTTAAATATAATATAAAAGTTTATAGTATATGGCTGAAAAATATTGCACTGTTGCACTGATAAATGGAAGTGAAAAAAAACCCTTTTTTTTTTCTGTATATCTACAAGCAAGTGACTGTAGGTCAATGTTGACTGTAGGTCAAGGGTACCATGTAACATTTACAGTTTGAGAATTTTAAACTATCAATGTGAAATTCATTAATTAACAAATATCGTTGAAGTTTTAAGTTGAAAATACTAATGAGTTCTGATCATAGTTATATGTGTCCAGTTAAACCAAATATCTTTTTTTCAATGTTATTTTTTACAAAAAGACTGTTAATTCTCTCTCACTCTCTCTCTCTCTATATATATATATATATATATATATAGAGAGAGAGAGATTGGCACATTTCATAATTATTTGTATCATTCTACCAGAATAATTGCCATAAAATATCCATTAATTACAAATTATTTATTTTTACTGCTCTAACATTTAACAAATTACCATTTGGAACCAAAACTAATATATACTGTTTTGATCACATGCTATTTTAATATCATTGATGCCCCTGTCACTGATTGTGTTGTGTAGTGGATTGTTGCTACTGCATAAGAATTTTAATATTTATTATAAACCTTTATGTTTTGCAGCAATATGTTCACCATAAAAATAAACGAGAAAGAATTGTAAAGATGAAGAATAAGCAATCTAATACATGACTATATCTAACAATAAAATGGTCCTTCATAAAGTAAAAAGAACTGCATAGACGTGTATATTAACACAGGTAAGAAAGGGTTAACAATTAGTAGTAGTCCTGAGCTCTAACCTTAGCGAACGGTCATTGTTCAGTTCTTTAATCCCTCAAACTTTGCCTTCTTGGTCTGGCAGTTTTTTAAGGAGAACTTGTAAGGCTTTGATCTCAAGGGCAAGTTTAATTAGACATAGTTTATGTCTTGCACCCTTGTATGAGATCTACGTGTTGGTATATAAAAGTACAGATTTAAAAAAAAAAAATCTGAAATGTGGGAGATACAGTTGAGCATTACACATATATTTAAAATTTTACATCACTAATTAAAAATTAACAGACACTAACAATGTACACTATAAGGTGAAATATTACATAGGTGAGATGATTTTAAATCATCTTGCATGGGATCTATCACAAACCTTCATTAATATGAAATTCGATTTCATATTAGAAAGATAGCTGTTCTGTTCTTGGACTACAACTCTCAAACCTCTCAGCCATTCCCTTTCAAAAGCTGACCATGAATTATTGGAGGTATGAGTGTTTGGGGGCCACATTTGGACAGCCTTAAAGTAAATGTGGCTGTTGCTGTATTTATGGTGCAGGTTAACATATCCTATTGTCTAGTCTGGTGATAAATACAATTTATTCCTATATGTGCGAAAACCATTTCATTAGAATAACGTGAGTTCCAAATTTCTGCAGGTGGAATGTGTATACAGTGTAGTTTGTTAATAACCGAGTGTGAAATATGACTATTTTAGAACATATTCACAATCCCAGATGCTAGATATATGCTTTAAATAAGAAAACAAAATCTAAATTTACAGAGATAAACCACCAATAGTTATTATAGAAAAAAGCATATTTGATAGGTCCGCAATATTAAAACTTTTAATTATTTTACCTCTAGAGTTTTCAACCTGAACTGACCCAATGCAATTTACATGGTCAACTTTTTATTATAATATTAATAATTTGCACATATTGTAACAATGTACCATCTATTCTTTCAATGCAAAACCCTTATATAAAAATACATTTGCTATAGGTGCTGAATCTACTAAATCAATTTGCATACTTGTTCTTATACTTCAGGGGGTATATTCAGAACATTCTATGTATAAGATGGTCTATAGGTATACATTTTTTGATATCATATATTACCCTTTCTGACATCTTTGAGGCCAGTGTTGGCTGAAATTGGTACTGCAGGCATTTGTAGACTAAGTTGCCCATGATGCTCAGCTGTCCTGAAGTGTAGGTACTCCATGAACATTTATCATGTCAAGGCTAGCCATTGCTGCTCCTCACAGCAACAGGCTGTCTGGGCTACTAAGTAAATTTTGAACTGTAGCAAATTCATATCTGAATTGTAAAATAAGGACTAAAATAGCCAAACGTTTTCTAAAGTTAAGTTGGAGAATTTCGGAAGCTCAACTATGTTTGCCTAAAAGTTGCCATTCAGATTTCAATTCACTACAATTCTTAGTTTAAGCAACAACTCTGTGTATACACGAGATAAGAGATGCAACTTTCCCGGTCATTAAGTAAATTAAAACTTGAGGTGATCATTTCTGTCAAACAACTGCTCATATATGTGTTCTATGTTATTTTCATTATGGCTAGCACATCATTACTTGGTAATTACTTTTTTTTTTCTATCTTCCTTTCAGTTCTTGCACTATCCTGAAAGCTGTATATGCACTTTATCAATCTAATACTTTCTCTTAAGATTGCTCTGCCCCTGATATGGTGCCAGGTGGTGAAGCTGAAAGGAGATATACTCACCTGAAGCATTAACTCGCAGGTATATTCTTCATCAGCTCCTTGCATTCGTCACAGCTGTAATCCTGCACATGCGCAAGATTTTAAGACCAAGGTCTATGGAGGATGCCACAAGACTGTGGTATTATCCATAACAGTGGTATTACAGGCATGCTATGATGCTCATTTTCCCACAGCTGAAAACAAGTTGGCAATGGAACCACTGCCCTTAATCAGGTTTTGTTCAACCCTCAATTTGCCATAAAACACAATAGTCTCTACGATATCTTTATAATATCCTTTGATTTGGTTTGAATTTCATTGAAGCTCCAATGTTCCAATGCAGTCAATATGAGCATTCCATAAAGATTTTCTCTTTATAAAATACTCAAAAGTGATATTTCCACGACAGAATCACTATAAGATCTAAAAATAACATTTTGTTGCTAGACATAAAAAAAAGAATCAAAAGGGAGATGAGACCTAGATCTTTGTGATCTAACATATAGTTAGATAGGTGCTTTGATTGGCAGGGAAGACAGTTTAACGCTTTGTGCGCCAGTGGTATGCAGAACATAATGCTATGCACAGCATTCCTGTAATAATTCCATTGCAGAGAATTCATATTAAATTCTAAATAACTCTTTGCTATTAAAAATGCTACAAAGATACCAAATGTGCACAAATCATATGATTGTCTTCTAAAAGCTTTAACATTGCAGGCTACTTACTGTTATCTCTAAAAAAAAGTGTTTAAAACTTTAATCTGTATGTGAGCATATCATATTCCTTAAAAAAGCAGTAATTTTGTGATTTGGTCTATTATTTTGTACATTGATGGTCTTCTATGATAACCCAGTGTTTTTTTTTTTTTGTAGGAAATCCATGTTAACGTTTTTGTAACAGATTTCTCAATAATTAATTAATCTCACTTGCTTTTTTCATGGCAATTAAAAGGTTACAATAAAAAAGATGCAGTATAAAATGGTCATAATAATAAATCAATTTTAGTATTTGGAGCATTTTTTTTCTGTATGGAATGACTCCTATGATGACCCAGTGATTTGTCAAATTTACATCAGATTCTGATGATAAACATTTTTACACTACTATGTTTTATATAAGTAAAAAAAGTGATCAACAGTTTATGGGGCAGATTGAACAATAATGAATGAGCCTTACTTGATTTTTCTCTGGCAATGTAAGGGTTAAAAAGACAGAAAAGGAGATGGGGAAAAAAAAAGCAGTGCTGTTTTCATTCTTTTCAGGGTAATGTGTACCAAGCCCCCCCAAGGTTGAAACTGGTTAGATCCTGAAGAAGCAGAATCTGACCAAGTTAAAGTAAAGACACAGAGACACATACTGTTTAGCTTCTTTGTCCTATAATTTTGTATGAGAAGGAAGGGCAGATTTGGAAAGAACAAGCTTGGGGTCTGTCGAACTGATTGATGAATTTGCAGAGGCGTGCATCCCCAGCCCCTGTATGACAGTAGCAGGATGCGCACACCATCCCTCTGCTTCTCCCTCAGTTTAGAAATGGAAGGTTTGAGAATTTAGAATGTGTGAGTTAAGGCTTCATTCTGTCATTGCTGGCAAATCTCCTATTATAGCCACCAAAGTAAAACTCAGATTGCCTCCCCACCCTCTTGCTGTAGAAGCCAAAACGCTCACAAAACAACACGTGATGCAATCGAATATTTAAGAAGGACTATAACAACATGGTAGCAGGAGGTACAGGCAATTTCAAAGATCAATAGAAGCTATTATATTACAGATTATATTTCATAAATGTACTATTAAACTTTGTTTGTTAGTGATATCTGTCTACAGTACTGACAGGTATAATAATAAAAACAAAAAGCAGAAATTTTTTGGGGGGGATACATTATGGTAAGATTTTATAGTTGACATTGTGCACTCAGGTTTTATAATATGTGTCTTGTTCATTAAATCCAGTTGATAACTATCCTACACTCTTTATTCCAACAAAGAGATAAGTGACAATTCTAGGGAGCTTTGATTGTAAAATTTTACCATTCATCTTGTAAAGCTGACTGTAAGCAAAAAATTAAGTATTATTGTTTAAAATTAGACATACATAGAATACAACCTCGGTGTGTATTATTTTGGATTGCATATATATAAGTAAATACATCTTATCAGTGCAAATCCTAACTCTTAACTTGCATTGTGAGGGCAGCCATCTTTAAGTAATGTTTGGGCAGATGCAGGGCTTATCCGATTAAATATTGCGCAGGTAATCAAGAGCTAATGTATGTTCATGAATCCTGGCGTGTGCAAGCACCGGACATCTCACAAATGCATCCCTGGCTGATTTCAGATCACCAAATTGTGCATAGTCTTACCACACAAGTGGTACTTCCAACCACAGAGGGATATCAATGGCTGCCCCAGTATCAGTGAAATACAATGTAAAACAGTTAGTAACAGTAATATATTGATAACAAAATAATGCTCTACAAGGCTTTATTGATCTTTGAAATAACAGATGACTCAAAAGATAGGAACCCACATCACATTCATACAATATTATGAGTCAACTGAGACTTGTGACCAATAGAGGATTTTAGTTAACCACCATAATTTTTTTTGTACATTCAATCCATTGTTTTTAGGTTCATTCATATAGTTCATATAGTAATAAAACATTGCAGACAGCGGGCCTGTTCACCAAACTGATTTTGGGAACAAAAAAAAAAAGATTGGTTTAAAATGTTGATGATCAGGGTAACCTTGGAAGGCAGACTTTCAGCAAATAACTTATAACGAGCAAGCACTTAATAAATACACAATTTAATAAATGATCAAAGAGTAAGAGGAAGGAGAATTACTATGTACACTTATAGTGGCGCTCAGTATTTGTTTTCCCTAATTCTCACACCTTAGTGGGTTATGAGTTCATTATAAGGAGTAGTTGGACTTGTGTCTCCCCCATGCCTTGCCCAATGTTATGACCTGTGTTATGGGAGTAAATTACATGAGTTAATTAAATATATGAGTTCCTTATCTACAGGTTCATCAACAGTAAATTTCTTCTATTTGAGTTTGGGCTTCTCATCGATGTTTAAGTGGGGAAGATCTGTGAGATATCTCCTATCATGTCCCTCCATAAGTGTTTGTTTGGGAGTGAGTACTTGGAGCTATGTAGAGACAAATGGTGTGAAACTGCAAAATCCTTTGTGGGATTTTCACTTATCTGGCTTATAAATGTGTATGGTCTACCAAACATCATGATTCTCCAATACACAGAGCCATGCTGCAAAAACTAATAGTGCCAATCCAAGCCTTCTATCATGGTGTTGAATATGAGCCTTTATTGAACTTGTAATAGACCTTGTCTCTCAACATACAGTACCATGAGTCTCCAACATCATTAATAGCGTATATACCATGTTCTTCAAGATACAGTAACAATGATGAGCCAAAAATATAAATGATGGTTGTTTATCACACAGAATCGGGTAATTAGAACATTTTTGCAGGGTTGGGCACTCTATATTGGGGAGAAAGCTAGTATGGCCAATATAAGGGGAAGATGTACATTTTTATGGGCCCAGGGCATTAAGAACTTCTTAAAAGAGAGGATCCCAGCAGACACGAGAGAAGCCAAAGGATCCATGCTCCATGTTTTTAATCACTCAGCCTTTTGCTCATAAATTGAGCGTATAGACGAACCTAGGGTTCCCTCCTGTTTAACAGTGTGAGTGGAGGACTCCTATATATTTTAATACCAGAAAATGGAGTAAGATACCAGGAAATTGAGTTAGAAGTGGACTTCGTAAATAGGGTCCCACCTCATTTTCTGTACATAACACACCAAAGGCAGTATGGGAATAGGGGGTAAACAATGAAGTGGCTTCTGTCTGTCTAATAAACAGTTGGTTCTTGAACCCAATATATATTTGTCTTTGTCTTCCTACCATTAAATATTGCATAGAAGATTGGAAGTTAATTTCCAAGCTGCTTTTCATAATTTTAGTATGGATTACAGTAACAATAGCCCATTTGTGTTTGTTTATTTATTTGTTTGTTTATTTATTTATGCCCGATGGCTGAGAAATGTACATTATTATAGGGATGTTCAGATTGGGATAATAAATGCAACCTTATATACCCAACTTGAGCGACTGACTGAATTAGTTTCAGAAAATGATTAGAAACTAGTTCATTTTAAAAAGCCACCTTGCTGTAGTACTACTAATAACCTAGTCAATGTTTGTCAAATAAAATAGGTGAGCAGCCAACCGGCAACTTGTCTCCAAGATACCAATTTCCCACAATCTTATAGATCTATTTTATTTACTAAACAGCTTTTATTTTGATCAAGGATCCAAACTTTGAATTGCAATGTTTCTTGATATTTGCAACCACTTGAAATTTTATATTAATGCATACAGCATTTTTTTTTATCCTTCTTAGCTGTTATGTAATATTGTATATAACATATGCACTTAATAAATAACTGCCTAGCCAAATAAGTTGCCTACTTACTTTGGTAAACGAACAATGTGAAGGAGATCTCTTTATCAATCAAGGTGTTGTGATGAGTTATTATATTTAGCAATTATAAAGCGCTAACTTATTCCACAGTGCCTTGCAATATTTTAAAAAGGGGGAAATTTAACAATAAATGAGGCAATTACAAAATGTTACAGGAACAATAGGTTGATGAAGACCCTGCTCAAATGAGCTTACAGTCTAGAGGTGACAATAATGTTCCATATTTCGAATAAAAAAAGCAAGTTTTGATAAAAAAGTGGGTTTTTTTCCTTCAGTTTTATAAATTTTTTTGCTAAATTTTTCGAGCTTGATTTCACCACATACCAATGAAATTTTAACAAATAAACTCATACGTGCATAAATACACAACATATAGGTAAACATTTTTTTTCTATTTTTATTTGCTTACTTGTAAGTTGTTTAAACCAGAGTTAGTATATTAAAGGCAGATGAAGAAACCTTTGTTTTTTGCAATAAGGAAAACACAAGCCATATTTGTGCAAGTAGACATTTTGGAGAGCACTATGCAGTATTATGCTCTCCTAATTCACAGCCCTAAAAGTGATAGCAAATATGCATCAAAACATTCTGCAGTGTAATATATAAAAGCACAGCAGGATTATGTGCTTTCAAAAAAGAGACATGGTGATTGGTTAGAGGCTGGCTTGATTGACAAGAGCTTAGTTTAGAGGAAAGGAGACACGCAAACCTTCACAGCTTGATTTCTTTTCTAGAATATATCACACTATCCTTTGAAAAGTGCCGCACGATCCAAGAAAATAACGTTTCACGGCCTGATTTATGGTTTTTTGACATTCCTTAAATTACAACCAAAATTAAATAGAAACTAAGTAAAAGAAATAAAATAATTTGTTAAAAGTATACTAATTACAAATATCGACCAACCACTCCTTTCAAAATATAGCAAAAAAACATCAATTTAAAATGTTAAAATGCAATAACGTAAAATGAATTAAAAAAACAAACAAACAGTTAATATCTGTGCAAAAGCAAAATATCTGTGCATGATCTCCACATATTGCTGAAAGACATCAGATTGAAACTTTTGAAGCTATTTAAGAACAATAATGTTTAATGTTGAATAATCTAGAATGTAATGTTTGTTTGTTTTTTGACAAACTACATTATACTTACTTTGAAAGTGGAAGAGAGCAGGGTGGCTTTAATTATTAAGTTTTGTACCAGCGCTATATTTCATTATATGTGTCAAAAACATGTGCAGGTTTTTTTTCCGCTATGAAAGAAAATATGATTTAAAGACACGTCAAAATATACCATCTCTCTTTAAAATAAAATTAATAATCATGTATCACATGACAGACAATTTTTGTAGTTTATCTCCAGGTTCTAGATATCACTGCTTTGAGTCAGGTAAGAAGAATCTACATTTTTACAAAACTAATGCTGGCTGATTTCTAGACAATGCATTTTAATTTTTATGGAGCATCACATGCTTACAATATTTATTCTACTGTTACTATGTTCATATACACACACACACACACACACGCAAACACACAGAGAAAAAATTCACGATCAAGTGCCACATGGACCAACAAGCATAGAAATCTGAGATGTGCTATCTTGTTTTCCAATATGTCTCGCTATCTCTTTAAAGGGGTCAACAGGTCAAGGCGAAGGTCACAGTGTCTTAGGTGTTGAAAGAAAATAGGTTTTATGATCTGGGCTACATTTAAACAACTAATAATAGAACTAACAGGATTAAAGCCAGACAAATACTAATTGACCACTGTTGTCATTGTGACCTGTAACTAATTAAAAGCTTTTTTAGTTTTATATTTGTTTAGTAAAGGTTGTTTATTAACTTGAGCCAAAAGGTGCAAAATAGATAAAAGTAAAACTTGGTTTTCTCTTGAAAGCCATAACAAGATGTTCTACTTTTTTAATATTTTTTTTACTTAATACCTTTAATGCCATGTACAGGAACATTTGGTGATGGCTTTTTTAAGATGTCAAATATTTTTTGGGAGGGAGGAATTTTTTTACAAAAATCATGAGATTTTCAGTTTACATTGATACAAAACTAATGTTAATTATTTGAAAATGTTTCGAAAAAAACAAGAAAATAATATATAGTCAACCTCAGTATTTAGCTGCAACCTGTTCATATACACACATACAGTCCTGATATGTAATTGGCAATTAATGGGTTAAAGTCAGTCAATTACTTAACATAAAACCATTAAGAATCAAGGTACAGACATTAGAAAATATCAGCAAATTACAGATTTTTGGGGGTAAATATTTTATCATTATCCCAAGAAATTCCACCACTCGTAAAATGTGGTTTGTTTTTTTATAAAGATAAGAAAAGGAAAATATTGATGTTTTCCATTGATTATTAGATATGTTTTGCTCTTGTATTAATATCCATTTCTATCCTATACACAATTATAACTATAAATTTACAAGTTGTTTAGCGCTGTAACCATGCTTCAAAAACTTTTATAACCCCTTCGGTTTCTATAGATGACAACAATGCATTTACGATATAAAAATATCATTATAGGGAAGGTGCTTCCCTGTGGATACATGCCGTTGTCTGCTTCCTGTTATGTATGTATCTATCTATCAATAGATAGATAGATAGATAGATAGATAGAATATGCTAAATTTATCCATATCATCTGCAATATTTAAATGCAACTATGGCAAATGAATAGTTTTATAGTATATTTAGGTGTTTTGGCTAAACTGCTTCATTGTTACTCAAACATAGCTCATCTGGCAATCAATTCACTTTGTTCATCTAAATTCCTAACTACTGAAGTTCATAACTTGTTCTTTAACATTATGAAACTTAAAAAAAATAATATTATATGCAAATATGAGGGAAATTCATTTTTCTGTACATAACGGTTTTTGCAGGATGCATATTTGGGTTTTCTTTTCCTATTGGCATATAGTCTAAGAGCATTACATTTTTCCATTTTTGGGATAAAAAATTTTGAAACAAAAAAATAATAGAGTATTTTGGTATATTGTTATAGCTGAGACTTGAGAATAAAGATTAACTCTAAATATTTGGTCGTTCCAAAATATGAAAACTGCAGCCAACAGTAGTGATTCGTGAAAATGAATTTTTAATAACAAATTAAAATTTCTCTTTTGTCAACTACTTCTTAATATTGTTTGCTATCAGGGTGTGCAGTATAGAGTAGAATTTTACATTCCTCAGTTACTCAGCCTTGTGACATTGTAAGACTTAATGGTAAAAAAGTTTGATGTGCAGAAGTATATATTAATAGGTGCATGGCTTCCTAAAATTGGAGAAGTTTTTAGCCGACAATGAACCTATGAAATCTTTACACCCATGAAAGAGCAGTAAAGATTTCACTAGCACAAAAGCCTTGATTCTGGCACAAGTCTTGTACTTCTCTAGATGGAAATACTTAGCCTATTTTCCTGGGGGAATTCAACCTTTCATGCGCACAATCAGACGGCTTACCACATGGTCCAAAGGAGACCTCAATTGCTCATGGGACCCAAGAAATTGCCCATGTATAAGACTATAATTTTCAACCAGAAACCATTCATATGGCGTAGATAATATGAAGTATAACACCTAAAAAAATATGATTTAACCTGACATATTTGGGTTTGAACATGACTATGTTTAAGAAACACACCAGTGTTAATAGTCTGGTAACCAGACCAGAACCTTTGAAATACGCCAAAAAACAAACATATTTTGATTACAATGAATGAGCTCAATTAAGCCTTATGATAAACCATCTTATATGCTTTAGTTGGAGGAATAACTTGCCATCTGGGATCTTCAGCATCAATGGAGAAGTATTTAACAAAATTCAGATAATTTTCTCTGACGCTTGAGTAATTTCTGAGCAATAGACATTATGCACATCAAATAAACCAAGACAAGGCTCTTAACAAGTCTCCTTATATAGCAAAAAGCACATTCTGAAGTGTTTATTTGCATTAATGTTAGCAACAAATGGATGCTCTTGATAAAATGTAAACAGCAGCAAGCAAACCCCATTGTCTCTGATTTTCTGCTATCTAACAGTTTAGGAACTGGTTGTGAATCTAGACTCTAATCAATTATCATAAAGTTCAGATAGTTTACATATACGTTAACCTTAACTGGATTATTTTATGCATACACTAGCATGACAATGCTATTTTGCATTTTTTTGCAACCTGTGTAATAATGGTGCAAAACTTTCGCTAAAATATTTTATTATTGCTATTTTTTCTAACTGAAATAAAAAAAGTGCTAAGTAGGTCAAGATAAATGCTAAAAACATAAACTCATCTATTTTTTTTATAATATACTTTTTAATATACTTAATCATTTATTGATTTTGTAGTTTCGGATGTGACATTATAGAGCAAACTGGAACCTTAATATTTACTATGGAGTTCATTAAAAAAAAAACACAAAAGGTGAACAAAATCCATGTACACAGTGCAACATTCATGAAATGAAAAACAAATTTAGAAGAGACCAGTGAATTTATGTAAACTTAACTACATAAACTTAAATACATAAATGCTAGTTCAACATTATTTCAGATAACATAATAGTATATATTTTTTGTACGTATGTGTGTGCTTTATATAGATAATCTAGTCACTCCCAGTCAGGTGATTACCTAATGCAATTTATATAATCTTTATCACATATTTATGAACATTTTATATTGCATTTAATATTAATATACCTATTGTAGTAATCCTTTGTAAATTCTTCTAGGGTTAATAAATGGTAGCACAACAGACTTATTAAGCAAAATAAAGCCTTAACAAAATATAACTAGACATTAAATTCGATTTTTGCAATTTTAAAAAATAGTTTAACTTAGAAATACCCGACAAAACGTAGAATACGTTTTCTGTTACACTTTTCAATTTCTACCAGTAGCAATGGTCTTTTTCTGTCTAAAGCAAATAGAACCGCCATTTTCGGAGTTTCTCTATACACAGTATCTACAAACACAGATAACTACATATAGTTACAGTTACAGTCTACATCTATACATAGGCTCAGTCTCTCTGTGTTTTATTTTGCATATCTTTAAGCAAGTTATATATCTTTATCTCCAACGTTCACTGTCTGCCTATTTACCTGATATATGGAGACTGAATTATTACATTTCTTATGTTAATTAATTTGAAGGAATCACATAGATTGACTTAATTTGTCACTAGATTCCTTTGTTGACAGTGTGAATGATGATATCAGTTTACTTACAATGGATCTTTAGTAATAGCACTCATTAATTAAACCAAATAAAGTAACGGACTATCTGTAAATTGACTAGCAAGGACCGTGAGACAGAGAACGCAAATAAAGGCTGTGGGTACTTGGTGCGTAAGTAAGTGCCAACACTTGCTAGTGTAGGTATACAGAGATGGGAGGCACAGCTCTGATATCTTCAAGTGGTTTGGTGCTTGTGGTTTCCCCTCAGGGCGTAGTCACGCTGAAAGGGTCAATAAACTGTGTGTCCCCCGCAAAGGAAAGAGCACAATAAACCCACCATCTAGGTCAAAGGTCACTTCGTCACTGATTGAGATATTCTCAACTTTCTTTTACTCTTCAGATAAATTTACCACACACAAGAATCGTCTAAACAAGAAAGGAGAAGCTTTTGAGCTTGCTGTTTACAAGCGGCAGTCAATGTGGAAGCTATATCAATATATCAATCCCTGTATAATAATAAACAGGCCCTGTAGATGTTTAATGTATGGTATATATTTATATATATGCTTTAAAGAGAGAACGAGAGACACACGGGCGCATAGACATGTTGGAAAAAGAAAAGACACAACATTTAGAACTGCTTTTCGCAAATCATTTTTTTTTTTTTTAGCTAACTTTGACATGCCAGTCATATCACTAATATTTCACATTTGAATGATAGGGCAATTTTTATAAAAACTAATAGTGACTCAGTCTGTGACTCTGGGATGTCTGGCTGGAACACAAAGCACATTAGGTGGATTTAAACTGTTTAGCACGTAGTAACATAAGCCTTTAATATTTAAGCTAATATGACAATGACAGCAACTCTACAACTCAGTATTGCGGTAACTACCTCATTGCTCTTGTGCAGGATGTTCATGATATGGGAGGGACTATCATTTTAGTCATAATGCCTTTCTTATTTAATACCGTGTTTTAATCATTCAAAAGCTATGATAGATTTGCGCTATGTGAATGTTCTAAAACAGGGTTTTCTAACCTTGACATTGTTGGAACTTCACTCCCATGATGCTCAGCCAGGCTCGAGTTGCTTTAGAATGACTAAGCATCAAGGGATATGTAGTCCACCAACAGCTGGGTGCCAAGGCAAGTTATCGCTCTCAGAGGACCTCTAAAATGTAAGCAATGTTTTATATGACCTAGTAAAACATGATGTACAGATGTATTTATTATTCACAATGTATAACTATTATGAGATGATATTTATTTATCAAACAAATTAATTCATTCCTACTAGCGATATGGAACACGCCAGGGTGTTTTTCTCATACTCTGTTGCTTTTATGTGGCATTCCATATAACAAATGTAACCCCCAATGTGTTTTTAAGAATATATATATATATATATGTGTGTGTATGATACTATATCACTATATTTGTATTATAATACTATAATAACAACGCAGATGAAAATGACATTTTCATGTATATTTTTATCTTGACCTTTACACGTCAATTTAATGTCAGTGACCCTCGTACCTAAGTCTCAATCACATTGGACTATGAGACTTGTACATCTATCATTGTCTAGTGTTTTTCTAGTAGAAGATAATCTTTACGTGGTCATTTGTAACTCTTCCCCTGTTGTAGGAAGCTTATCGTATGGTTGGTTAATACCCCCTTACCCATTTCTCTTTCTTTAAGCAGAGATAGAGGGTTCCAAAGAAATTGAATGAGTGTTAGCTATAGAGAATAAGTGTCTACATTCTCTAAGGAAGCCCCTGATTTCTTTGTAAGACATAGTTTCGTCAACTAAGAAGTCAATATAGTCCCTTTCTTTTCAGATTCAAGGCCTTGTTTACTTCAATACATCCCTCCGAAGTTCAAGTGTACATGTGATTATACCACATTGATTGACAAAATGAAAATGTCTCATTTGACCTCGCTTTGCCTTTAATTATCTCTCTACTACAATGTGTTTATGAACACAGAAGCTATAAAAAAAAAACAACATCTTGCTTTTATGGCGAATTTTCATCAATTGTCAATTCATCTTTATATTTGGTAACGTTCATATTATAAATATTTTCCAAGGAGTTGAACAATGTTTTCTGATATATAAAGAAATCAAATTAGAGCAGCTTTAAACATATATTATCTGCATTTATTTCATCACAATATAACACAGCACAAGAGATGTATGATTGGAATTTTTTGGAATAATACCTATATTATATGTATATTAGTTACCATAGCAGGTTAATGATACACATAGGCCATAGTTTGAATTGTTTAAAGATAAATCTTATTGTGTGTATTGTGTCTACTGTCTACGAGCTATTAGCATTCCAGGTGGTATATGTGTGTATTTATATATATAAATCATCAAAGATAGATTTATAATATATATAATATCATCAAAGATAGGCAAAATAGACTGTGTATATTACATTTGGTTTCTTTGTGTTAAATATAATACAAAAAATATTTGATAAGTATAATAGTTATAAAGGTTAACCTTTATTTTATTTTAGATAGCAGATATAAAGAACCAATGAGATAGTTATTATGGTGCTTGTGTAACTTATTGGCAAAATATTTTTTAAACACCTTGTCGTAATTTTCAGGAACGCAAACCAAGTGAATGTAAATACTAGTTAACTGGATGCACTTGAGATTGAAGGTATATATTCTGATATATCAGAAATATATGTGAATTCAACAAGCCATTAGTAAACCTGTGCTGGACAATAAAATATTTTCTTTTTGAACTTCAATAAAATTTGCTCTGTGTTATTTTTTTTTTTTTTTTGTCGTGCAATTTATAGAAAAAGTCCACATGAGAAAAAAAAATTTTCTAGGATAATCTGTAGTTCAAACCCACTTACGACTATTACAACTCAGTTAAATGCATTAGATAGTTTGTACATGTTATACGTCCATCAAAAGGTTACACTGTGGTATTACATTTTATTTCCTTAACAGTTTTTCTTTTTTTTTAAAGGCACAAACTTCACACATCGGGATAGATTTACCTTCCAGAAAAGATACAATCTGTTACATACGATATAATTGTGTGTGTATATATGTGTACATGTATATACGTATGTATATAAAAATATATATATGTAACTGCTAATGTTTCCGTGTCCATATATGTGTGTGCATAATTGTGCAGGTATTATGTTTACTTAACATTTTTCCATAATTTATACTCAATATATGCAAAACAAACCACAATTTGGAGCCAGTGCTGAGGCCTCAGGAAAGGGTCATTTTTTTTTCTCCATACTGGCTTCAGAACGGCAGCTTCACAGCCATTTCACAACCCATTCTCAGTTGATGGTCTAATTAAATTATGTCTTTTCTGACACAGAAACAAGGGAACATATGCCTTAGCTAATGAATTATCCTTTTGGAACCATATAGAGTGTGTACACAGCCACATAAACAGGTAACCAAGAACACAGCAATTTGCTAGGAATAGGCCAATAAAACACTGAAAGGGAAGATGTTTGGAGTAAAAAAGAAACTTTGCTGACACCTATGAAAGAAAAACACCATAAAAAAAGCCTTTGCTGCTTTCCCTGTGACTAGGAGGGCATTTGAAATGTACTGCATTCACCAAGGAACATCAAAGCCAAATATTGCACTGGGATAAGCTATGCATCCATCAAATCAATCTACCAAGTTTCCCATGCATACCAGCAAAAAATCAAGCTCTCTTGCACTCTACAACATAAGATCACAGATCACCACTTTCACGAGCATTTGGAGAACTGACCGGCCGGTGCAAACATATAGCAAGCAAGGCTTAAGCTACACAATCTCTAAGATGCAATTATTTAAGACAAGAGGGACTCACCTTTCAACTTTTACTGTGTATCCTTGGTAGATGTGTAGCATGAATTTTGATTGGTTTTGATGGAAGATGGTATTGCTACTAAGGCTGATTTTATAGGGGTGGAGTTTTTTTTTCTTTCTTTCTTTTTTGCAAAACTCTAAAATAAAGAATGTAAAGTCTTTCCTGGGGCTGATTGGGGGGAAGGATGTGAAAAGACTGCCGTTATAAAGCTCTGCTTGAAGCAGTCTCTCAATGCGTCTCTGAACTTGATCAGATTTTATGTTTCCTGCAGGGAGACAGCAACAATCCTGTGAATGTAGCTCAATAGACAGACTTTTGGGCTCTGCAAATCTCAGGATATTACAATTACGGCTATCTTTTTCTTTCTCTTTTATTCCCAATCTTGCTCCCTATAGTTCTTTGCAAAAGCTTTCCCATACAGAAAAGAACTGGATTTATAGAGCTGTCTAAAGCAAGTAATCATTGTTAGACAAATGCTGTATTTCCAAAAAAAAAAAAAGAAAAAAAAATCCTTTTTCTGTGCATGAGTGCAGCTATCTATGTAAGGCTATATGACGAATGTATTGTGTGCATAGATGCATTTTTTTTTTCATATGTCCGCTCTGTGAAGTTTAAAATCCTAACTCAGAAAACAAACACAACAGGGATTCCCCCTGCACATTCTTTTTAAGCATACCAATCAATTTAACTATTTCTTTGCTTTGAAAAAAAAAAAAGAAAAGAAACAGTTGAGGCTTTGAGAGAGCTGCATCTGGTGTGCCAAATTTCATAAAGATTAGCCGATCTGAAAAATAACCTTTTTATTTAGATTTTTTTTTATACAGTATACAAAATAAATTTTTATAAATTGTGCTTATACATTTTAGTAAAATATGAATTTAAAAAAAAAATACTATTAATTTTTGAAATATTTTTTTTAGAAATCGCATTCACCGTAGGCCTTATAAGATTTTGACGGCGGAGAAAGAATGAAGCACAGAAAAATATTTTTCGTCAACAACAAAACAGATATTGAAAAGATATATTGAAAGATACATCAATTTTGCAATAAACATTTTTTTATATAACACTTATAACTCTTTATGATTCACATTCATTTCAATATGTATAGTATAAAAAAAAAATCTAAGAAAATAAGGCAAAACAGAATGCAGTGGTAGAGGCAGGATTTCATAGGCTTGTAAACTGAAAGAATTCCAGTTTGCTTTTGTTTTGAAAGCATTTAGAGCTACAGATTTGTGTAGAATCACTGAAAGATAACGGTTTTGCCTTTTTAAGACTCATCTCAGGTTTGTGAGGTTTTTGAAGATGGCTAATGAGATATACAGCTTTGAGATGTAGCTGACAAATATCTCGGCTCTGTAGAATCTATTAACACATGCAGAACAGGAGGGGGTGCTGAAATCTCTCTCTTTTTCAAAGTTTCCCAGGCACTTACAGCACTGAAAGGGTTAACCTTACCTGCAAATACTAAACCTGAGTAGACCAATCACTGCACAGATAGAGTGAATCTGCTACAGTCAATGCTATACTCTGTCAATCAAGGATTCACAGGCAAATGGGTGCCTGGGGCAGGGCTCAGAGGACACTCCCCCAGATGAGTTTCTATTGGTGCAATTCAGACTGCCTCCTGAGTTGGTTTATGTGTGAGGAGTGAGTGATTGACTTTATCAGTCCAAGGACATTACTCAGTTGGAGAGGGTGAACTGTTTCCTGGATTTTCTCAAGCAAAAGGAATTAAAAGAAAAGTTTTTTTTTTGTGTGTGTGGCTACTGCTCCTGCATGAGCTGCATCCTTTGCTGACCATTGAGTAGGTCTGCACTGCTCAGATTCACTCATGACGATGCTATTAGATGGAGGACCACAATTTCCCACCCTGGGAGTTGGTGGGTTTGGGACAACTCGCCATCATGAAATGTCCAACCGAGATGCTGGCATGGGGCTTAATCCGTTTGCTGAACCTCCACATTCTGCAGCTTTTAAACTTAGTCCAGGCAATCATGATCTCTCCTCGAGCCAGAACTCTGCTTTTACCCCGCAGGCATCTGGATATGCCAATGCGCTTGGACACCATGCTGGGCAGGTGCCATCTTATGGCGGTGCAGCTTTTAACTCTACTCGAGATTTCCTTTTCCGAAATCGAAACTCTGGAATTGGAGATGCCGCCTCACCAGGTGGTCAACATGGACTTTTCACCAGCCATGGCCCCCCTGGAATAGCTGACCCTTCAGGGCACCTGATTTTCCCAGGGCTACATGAGCAAAGCTCTACTCATTCTTCACCCAATGGACATGTGGTCAACGGTCAAATGCATTTGGGTCTTCGGGGAGATATTTTTGGACGCCCAGATCCTTACAGAGCTGTTCCAAGCCCAAGGACTGACCATTATGCTGCAGCTCAGTTCCACAATTACAACCACATGAATATGAGTATGAATGTAGCAGCACACCATGGCCCTGGGGCATTTTTTAGATATATGAGGCAACCCATCAAACAAGAGTTATCATGCAAGTGGATGGAGGAGTCACCGATAAACCGTCCCCAGAAAACCTGTGACAGGACATTTAGTAGCATGCATGAGCTTGTTACACATATGACAATGGAACATGTTGGGGGACCAGAGCAAACTAACCACATTTGCTACTGGGAGGAATGTCCTAGGGGAGGCAAATCATTTAAAGCAAAATACAAACTGGTCAATCACATAAGAGTGCATACAGGAGAAAAGCCCTTTCCATGTCCTTTTCCAGGGTGTGGGAAAATTTTTGCACGGTCTGAAAATCTAAAGATTCACAAAAGAACTCATACAGGTAAGAAGATAAGATGTATTTACAAAGAAACAATTGCTGCAAGTATACGAAAAGTTTGGGAAATCATAGATTTGTTTTTGCATATACTTGGCTAAAGATACTTATTTGTATTTTTTAAAATCAATTTTATTACTTTTTTGACATTTTTGTTTCAATCAAACTTGAAAATAATATTAATATAATTCAGGGTAGGGCAGGTAAATATTTTACAAGTTTATATATATATATTTTTTTTTAAAACTGTGAATGGATAAAGGTTTGATCGAGGATTTGTTTTCAGCTAGTTTGGTTCCCTACTTAGTTGCTGCAAGCAATACAAATGCTAATTTAATCCAAGTTTCACTGACTTCCACTTTTTCTCTCTTTTTTTTTACTCTTGATTAATATACCTCCTATTCAGAGCAACTACACATTTGGCATACTATTGTATTTATTTACTAGTTTTACTTCAATTAAACAATGTGCAAAGAATGTGAATTCATAAAATCAAAAAGGAAAAATAAAAATACAAAACAATTGATTTTATACTGTACAATAACACACACACCCTGTTACTGAGCATTCTAATTTACATAATTAATTTTTCAATTGTGTGCTGCATTACCTTTTTTGTTAGGACAAGTGTGTTTAAAAGTTACAAATTCTGAGTAACAATGAGCAAATTTATTTACATTACAAGACAACAATGGTCAGACTATTTGACCTAGTTTTACAGGATTAGTGTAGGTGTCCCTTTGTATTTTAAGTGTCAAATTAGCTTGTTAAATATTTCAACATGAAATGCAGATATCGTATGGGAAATATATAGGCAGGAAATCAAGTCTGAGCCAACAACGTGAATTTTATTAAGTAAAATAAGTAGGGCTGAAACCGTTAAATAAAACTGAATTATGACTGAAAAAAACAACATCTTAAAGTTTCAAATCTTTAACACGAAGCATGTACTTTTTCCCAGGTGAAAAACCATTTAAGTGTGAATTTGAAGGATGCGATAGGCGGTTTGCAAACAGCAGTGACAGAAAAAAACATATGCATGTACACACATCGGATAAACCATACATCTGCAAGGTGTGTGATAAATCCTACACACACCCCAGCTCTCTGAGAAAACATATGAAGGTAAGATTTTAATATTATTCTTTATGTTCTTGAAAATATACAAGACTAGAAATTTATAAAAATTACAACATTGTTTTTAGTATTAAGTTAAGGAAACACTGCTTTAATTTTTAAATGCCTGTTTTACTATTTAAAAGTGGTGTTTTATTATTTTTTAGATAATATGAGCCTGTTTTATTTGTGTGTTGATAGTGATCACGTGACACACATTAGCACATACATATACAATATGAAAGATTTATACCTTTTGATTGGTACTAAGTTGTCAGTGCTTAATTCTTAAATGGGTATGTTCTTAGAAATTATATTTTTATTTTACTGTTTATAGCCCTTAAAATGAATTACATGTGTTAATAACATTTTGTTTATAAGGAATTATGTCTATAATATATTTTCTTTTATCTTGCAGGTTCATGAATCTCAAGGGTCTGAATCGTCCCCTGCTGCAAGTTCAGGTTATGAATCTGCCACACCACCAGCTATGGTTTCTGTCAGTAGTGAAGAATCGTCTAAACCAACTTCAGCACCAATTCAGACTAATAGTAACATCCACAATGCAGGACTACTTCCACCCAATTTTAATGAATGGTATGTCTGACAAAAATATAAAAAAGGCACTATCTGGCTCAATAAGTGGATCGAATGAAACAAAACACAGAAACCAAGTGGGCTCATCAACAAAGGTGGAAAAGGAGTTTATAATACAAGCAACAGCATAGGGCTTTATCCTTTTAACTGAAGTCACCATGGAATGTTTTTCCCACTTTTTTTAATTTTTATTTTTTTAAGAATAATGGCTCTGGACTAACTGTGCCCTTTTCTCAGGATCCAAAATATATTTTGGCATTTACATTCTACCCCTTCCACTCTCTCTGAATTTTATATTTTCTTTCACTTTAATATTTTCTTGATTTTCAAAAGAAATTAGGTTTTCTTTTTTTTTATCTTTTTTTTTTTTTTTAGCTTGCTTATTTAATTGATATTAAAATCCCTTCACCTCTGGTGATTGTTAAACTCTCACATTCTTAAACCGTGCCAAAGTCTTGTTACGTCTTGAACTTTCTTAAAGCATTACACATGTGAATGTATTTCTTGTTTATAGGGTCAAAGCTGTTGTTCGGTATTTTTTTTTTTTTTGCAAGATGGGGATGTAATCTTAATACACAGATTGTGACCGTTTAGTATACAGTTGCCTTTTGTAAGAACTTTTGTAAATACATATCCATGATGCCATATTTATCGTTTGTAATTTAATTATTGATACAAGTGCCGGGAACTGAACAATATTTATGAAAAAAAAGTTTTCTAACAAAAACTCTGTATAGCTTTTGGTTATAACTGCTTTAGCATTAAAATTTATTGTTTTGAAAAATTTTAAATTTAAATCGTCTAACCCATGAGTTCCTTCACTTCACATAGCAATGTAAAAAAAATATTGCAGTCTGAGCTTGCAGAGCTCTTCAGAACAATTTAATCATTTATGTTATTCTTTGGTCTACACAGATAAATATTGAAGCATCTTTAAGATGAAACACTGTTTTTATTAAGCTGAAAGTAAAATGAAATTACATTTCAGTGTTTGGCATGCTTACCAGATAATTCTAAGCAGTTCACTTAAGTGCCATGACATCTCTATCATGCAAATCAAACAAAACATATCTATTCATGGCTGTAGGGATTCTATTGACTAAACTGTGCATTGCAGTGAGTTAACACTGAAGCATCAAAATGTAGGCCAAAATATCCAGGTCAACTTTAGTTTTTTTAAAATTTTATTTATTTTTTTGGCATTTTGGAATGTGTTTTTAACTCACCTCATCTCACTTTTTAGTGAATAGACCCCCTAGCTTATGCAATCCAAACGGTAGATTTCAAATCACTACATAGTGACCTGACAACTTGTTTGAAAAATTATGACTCCAATCTTCATTTCTGTTGAGTGAGAGATATTGTTACCAAATTAAATGTTAAACTTTACTTGGTATATTGATTTTCAACTCACCACAGATCAAAATTTAGTGAATAGCTGTCTTTGTGTTTATATTGCATATATTTTGAAGCAAATGCATCTAATATAGATATAAGTGCACAATACATCAATACATATATCTATATAAATATAGATTTGAAATCAAATACATATATATTAAAAGCACATTTGAGTTACCTAATTTAATGTGAAGTGTAGGCCCAATAATATTAAAATAATTTTTTACAAATTAAAAGTCTTATTAGTATTATAAATTTATACGTGCGGAGCCTCTAAGAAATCTAAAAAAAATAAATCTCTCAATTTAAACTTGTATAAAAATTAAATATTTTTTTTCTAATTTATGTTTCTCAGATTAAAGATAATCACAGCAATATTATATATTTTAGGAGAAGTATTTGTAGCTGTATAAAAAGGAGCAAAGGTGTGCTGTAAACTTGTGACTTATATTTTACTCATAAGAGCATATTTTTAATTAAAATGCTAGCTACATAAAAAAGCTTATTTGGGATGCAGATGAGACCATCAGCACTGAACCTTCACATCTAACATGTTTATGAAGTACATTTTTCATGATGTTTGCTGGCTTGGATTCATGGCAAGTGTAGTTCATATCATTACCAGACACGTCATCATTGCTCGACTTATTCACTAAATGGGAAACTGTGTGGAACTGAGAAGGGAATTGTGTATTTTAGGCTCAAACAGAAAAACTGTAAAGTTAACTGAGCTGGAGAGTTTTTAAAATTCAGCATTTTGGCCTAAAATGTACAATTCCAAGGTCAAGTTTTCCAAATCTTCAGTTTAGGAAGTAACCCTGTTAGTATATTGGGTTTCCATTTGTGGTAAGAATTTAGAGTTTTGTCATTGTATATGATTATATGGAAGTGTAACTATACCATGTAATAACATTGTTATTGTACAATGTATTATTTTGAATAGTTTCTGATTAGTTATAGAATTAACAGTTTAATTTCCAAGGTGATTTGCAATGATTTGCAATACAATATGCTGCTCATTCTTCTAGCACTCAGATGATTAATTGACATTTTGCTAATTAGCCCTCCTCACATATCATTAGCTTGAAATTTTAAATAAACAAGCAAAATACATATGCCATTTTCCATGTTGTCTAAACAACACAAGTAAAAATAATATCATATTAAATCTATCAGATTCTACCATGCTTTAAATAAAGAGTGCTATTCTTTAGAGCATACATTTTAACCTTTTGCATTCTCTAAATAAGCAGCAAAGGATTTTTAAAAAATAATAATTTTGAATCTCTTCTAACACATGGTGGAACAATCTTACAGCAACACCAAACATAAGACACCTCTGTTATACCATAGTAACCAGATTCTACCATCTATATTTCATAATTCAGCTTAGAAAGCATGATTATATATTAGGGAAGACAATTTCAATATAATAAGACAGAAAACCAGGAGTTAACAGACAATTCCTTGTTGATGTAGTAAAATACCATTTGTAATAAAAATTCCATGAAAGTAACAAAAAAAAAAAAAGACAAGACAAGTAACAGTATGTAGGTGGCTGGACTTAATTATTTTATTATTAATATAATATATAGTTTATTTTCAAACAATAAAATTATTAATACTTATGCTTTCTAACTTAGCGTGAAGGCATTTTTTTTTAAATGTATTGCCTGTTGATTGTATATTTTTATTCAACAAAAGTGTTAACCATTGTGGTTTTAAGATTTTTTTTTTAATTCTAGAAGTTGAGAAATTGAGAACACTCAAAGACATGCTATAAGCAAAATGCAATCCCACTGCCCTTTTAGAACATTTTGAACTTAAAAACAAAACAAAACATATTAAATACAATCTAATGTCTTCACTAAAAAACAAAACAAAAAAGAAAACACTGAAACAACCACGGGAGGAAGTGAGATAGGTGACACAATTTACACCAAAAGTTACATACTATATGTCCAAAAAATTAATCGAATGTAATATATAAAATGTGTTCTGTAATTTCATCTATACTCTCGATATCAATTTTATCATTGTTTGACAACATTCTGTTTAACCCCTGCAGAACTACAGCAACATATACAACAAAATAAAACTCACAGTTGCACTAAAAATGTAGATTTTAATTCACGAACTCAGAGAAACCAGTGAGTTGTCAGTTGTTTGGGTAGTGAAAATGTTAATAATTTTCTTTTAATATGTGTATGTAGGAAGTTAAAAGATATATAATGATTTGTAAGAATATATTTTAAATGGTTTACACTCAAATCAAAATAATACTTTCTAAACAGCCAAACGTGTAATGTCATTAGTTTTCTTTACCTTCATAGATTTTAAAGATTTTAGCCGTAATGATAATATTACTACTACAACCCATACTGATGAACCTAAAAGATGTAACTGGAAAAAAAAATAGCCTCACTCACAGCACTATGTGCACCAATAGAATCTGTGCTGGAACCTTAATAAACAATATGTAATTTTTAGAATTAAAGATCTATGATGTTTTTATAGGATACATCCTGATAAGAATTCCTACTAAATTCAATGATAATATGACAGATATTGAATTATAATCTGCCTGTCAATTAATTCATTAAGGCACTTGAAAAAAGCATTTGTCCGTCCCCCCCCCCTTTCTCCAATGAAAACATACGTATATATATCTTTGCTAAGAGGTGGGATAGCAAGATGCATAAAAAATGTGGGACAAAATAAGATAGCTAGGTAAAATCTCCCTGTCAGTGGTCAGGTTTGTCAAAGTTTTGATTTTTACTGTTATTACCATGTTAATCACTGTTTAGTGAATAGACCCCTATTGTAGAGATCTACTTTCTATTGAGATATGATATATAAATACACACACACACACACACACACACAACCACACACAAACACATAATATTGCAAGCATGCACAATGCACACAGTAATTGATATGATTTTAATTTTGAACTTCATATTTTAACTAGCTTTCTCTTCACTTGTGCATTTCCTAGAAAACTAGCAAATTTATTTTCAAATAATATTTATTAAATGTTTGACATTTTTTTAATATAGGGAAATGACAACCAGGGGAAAGATTAAACGACAGGAAATGGCACTTACATATTTTTGTTACTAAGGCATCAAAACTTCTTCTATGGTGTGCTATGTATTGTCAAGCAGCATCCACTATAATGCAACAAATATACACCTAGGTTTACTTGTGTTTTCATTGCAAACTGGAGCAGTGTTTTGTCACAGTACAGAAGCTATGAGGCTTTGGTACAAAACACCCAAGTGTCCTTGTAAGCCAACATTTTAGCTTTCAGCTTCTGTCATTCACTAGGTTTACTCACGCCCTGTTGCTGCGTCTTGTGATGATTCATAGAAACTCTAAGCCTCTCTCCTCCCCATTCCTCAATACGCTTTACATGTGTACAAGGGTTTCATCCCCAGAACACCGGAAGAAAAACATTAAAGGGTTTATTTACTAAACAGTGAGTTGTGATTAACTGAGAAAACAATAGAAGAATTCAGCCTAAAATAGTCAAGCTGTGATGATAACTGACTTGGATGATTTCACATCAAGACTCGTGTGTTTGGAATTTTGCAATTTGATTTTTTAATTCACTATAGTTCACTGTTTAATGAATAAGACCATCATGAATCATATTTAGTTTTCCCTGTGCAGAATTTTACAGAGTGATTCGGGTATTGTCTGTTACATTAAATTGTACATATCTATGTAATGCACTCAGAAATCTTTTTATATGTTCAGTTTAAATACGACAAAAAATAGAATTGCATGACTGCTATACAACACTGATGTTATAGAACGATTCTGGCCCAATATTTTGCCAGCAAAGCTGGAAAAAAACAAGTTGGCAGCTAAAATGTCAGGGGAAAAAATGTGTAGAAAGGATGATGATTTGATGCTGTTGGAGCTGTCTTGAAGTGCGTGACTATGTGCTACAGGGGAATTCTGGGAGCTGACAACAGTTTATGGCATCTTTGCAATCTGGATTACAAAAATGGAACATCGATGTTTGCATAGGAGGGTTAAAATACCTGATTTACTTTTACGATTTTACCTCTATAACAGTTTTCTTTAAATACTACTTGATGTATTATTCATGGATGGCAATAACAATTTGCAAGTATACATGCATTTTATCTTTTCACCCATGGTGTCCAGCGTCATTTTAGGCTTAACAGAAACCCTTGATGTTACTAATCTGTTCCGTACCAGAGAGCTTCATAATGTGAGACTTCATTATGGATCTCGGTGGGTTAAAACAGGAAGAAGAGAGAACTAAGAAGCTAATAGACAATTTAATACCTACAATTAATATACGTACCAGGCTCATAAATCCAGTTTGGTCTATTTCCATATAATATGTAATGGGCTACTTTTTTATTTCTATAATTTATATATTCTTCTAATTGATGAATATCAAACTATAGTTAAAAAAAGCATTATATTTAACTCATGAAGTGCCAGTATACCCTCCAGTGCTATAAGTTATGTTTATGTTGAGTTTTAAATGTTGTTACTATAGGAGTAGCTTTTAATTTAAGATTTGAGGAAATGTAATGCTTTTTTAGATGCGCACCCCTGCGACATCGACAGTTCCTGTTTAGTCATGTAAAAACACATACACACTCAAACACACACACACACACACACACCATGAATGAGGTAGATGTTTCAGGGTTAACTATGCTGCCTTTACATAATAATTCTGTGTTCTATGTGCAATTTTAAAAAACAAACATAAAAACGCATGGCCATAATTTACAGCAATTAATTAAAAAACAGAAAAAGCCAAGATTTAAAAATCCAGACACATCCCTTGTCTAGTCACATCCCTTGTCAAGTCTGTTTGATATTTTGTATTTACAAAAGAAAACCAGTGTATCCTAAAATTATATAATGCATTTATTCTCTTGTTTTTTTTTGTGTGATTTCGACATACCCCCGGCTGTGAGGATTTATCTCTGACTCAAAGTATGGGTCGAATAGGAGCCTACCACCTCCTGCTGAAATTCTTACAGCTGATTAAAATTCCCAGGCTACATTTGAAACACTTTAATTAAAAATAAATATATTTTTAAAGCATTATAATTTTTAGTATTATTGGCATTGAAATTGTATTACTTTATGTTGCATTTTTTTTTACTTTGTTCTTCTGATACACATGACGCATTATTGTTATTATTTTTTTTTAGAACACACTTCTGTTATTTTCAAATTGAGGTATTCTTGATTAATAAGAGCCATTACAAAAAATGCATGTCAAATCAGCTTTAGCCTGAATTGAGCAACACATGGAAATGAGAATTTGCCTTTTTTCTTTACTTGAAGATTGAAAGATTAAATGTAAAAATACTGATGTCTCCTTTCTGTCTGGCTCTATCTATACATAAAAACATAGGCCACTAAAGAGGCAGATGGTTCTTGCTATTTATCGGTCTGTCTGTCTGCCTGACTGTCTATTTGTACCTAGTCTTGGCAAACAAATTAAATAGACTTAACTGCTGGATTATGTGAGTTAGACGAAATTATTGATTAAAGTTTTAGCTCCCTTTATCAAGCCTTTATCATATATTTTATATAGATTGGAAACAATGCACCTTATTAAAAAAAATGGAGTTGATTGCTTTCCTCATCATCTTTTGTGAAGTTCAAAGTAGAGAAAAAACAAAAAACATACAAAAAGCCCAGCATGTGATTGTGAATTCGAGTGATCCTAGGATCCAGATTTACAGTATGCTCCCGACTGAAATAAAAAAAAATCTATGACATGTTGAGATCTATCCCGAATTCTATGTTCCAGATGTATATTTATATTTTTAAGATCATTTCTGTCTGTCTCCATTATAAAATAAATGAACATTGAAAAAAGGTTTAGGTGTTAGATTTAGGACTATTTTTATTGTACCTGACCAGTTTCTAGAACTTCTCCTACAGCTATTTATGTCTATTTTGGCAAATGAACATGGCCACTGTAGAATCTAGAGCATAGGTTATACATGCAGACTTATTTATTAAACTAGCAAATGTGGGACAATTGCAAGGAAATTGAAAATTTAGGCCTAAATAACTGACCTGAAAATGAGCTATTCATGGTTATTTTTGCCTAAAATGTCAATTGCCATCACAGTTCATAGCATTCCAGATTGAAGGAGTAACTCTTTTTGTTCTAGGGTTGATGGGACAACAAAGACACCTTATTACAAGTTAATAAAATCTGAATCTTTTACCTGCATTTTTCCTTCTAATTAATATTGATAGTAGGTGTCAGGTATGGTTGAAAAAGAACTGAATCATTGAACCTTTTTCTTATTGTATTATTATATCAAATTATTATTATTATTATTATTATTATAATCATTTGATCCATCTACATGCAATGTTTATCTATATTTATTTTGCTGATGATATGGACTATTGATTAGCCCAAGACCATAAGTCTTGAAATATTCATTGATGAATGAAGACTAATGTATTTGAGCTTATGTACACATCTTGATAGACATAAAAGTGCTAGTCATTTATCTATGGTATATCTGTCTTGCCGTCCATTCTTCTGTCTAAGTGTTAATTCAGAGCTATATAAGAGTTTAAAAGGTCAAACAATGATATTCATATGGTTTTGATATTTTATTTATCTATTCAAATCTTGACCATTCAAGGAATGCATATTTTTGTATTACTATACAATGTTTTGTAGTTTATGCTTTTATTTACTTGGTGTTGGTTTTTTATCCTTTGTTTATTCTTTCTTTCACCTTTCAGGCGCATCTGTTTTCCCCTTTATTTCTTTTCTTTAGCGTAAAAAATAAACCCTGCCAAGATGAAGCTGTTGCAGACTCCAGCTGACTACCAATTTGTATCAAATATAAGAAGTTTGGTTAAAAACGGTTGATGCTGGATCTCGCAGTTTGATTACAATTTCCCCACCAGAAGTTTGGCATTTTTGAAATATTTTTTCAGCGGGGTATAGATTACAAAATGATATTTCTGTTCTTGGATTTAAATATTTAAATAGAAAGAAGCAAATCTTCAATTTAAGGTTCTTTTGCCATGGTTCACTACCAATGCTGAAACGAAACTGTGATTGTTCTGAAATACAAAAACAAAACAAAAAGTAGTTAACGGTCTTATACCCCTCAGGCATATTCACTTTTATTTGAGTTACTGCTACTGTGACACTAGTTTGGTCAGGTTTTTTTTACATGTGAATTAGCCAGTGCTTTGTCTTAGGAAGTATTCTAATTTACTTGTTTCATTCTATTCACCTTAAAAAACTAATTTCAGGTTTTAACTGCCCTAGGCTCTATCTCTCTGATTCTGGAGACAATATATTATGTACTATTTCCCAGAACAGCATAGTACATTTTTGCTGGGATAATGGTATCTGTTATAGTAATTAGTTCTTATTGAATAGCAGTAAATATGAATAGAAGAAAACTGTATGTATGTAAGGAAAGATTTCAAAGTAGGCCTTGCCCCTGCACTCCTCTTTGAACCATTTGTAAGACTCGAGGAGGTACATCTAAGCAGACCAGGGTCATTTCAAATTTTTATTCATTTTTTCATGTCTCTAAACTGGAAGAAATGAATCCCATGTGACAAATCTTCTGAGTCTGTGTTAGAAGTCTAAAAGCTAAACATGTAGGACAATACACATATACACTAATGTGCAGGCCACCATTTATGTATGTTTTCATCTTACTCATATGCAATGGCTGGTATTTTGAAGAATTTGCTCATGAAGCTTGCGTGGAGGTGAGATAAAGCTTATGGATATTTACTAAAATAAGAGATAGAAAAAAAAGTCTCCAACTTGATTTAGATCTTCTTGAATTCAGATGATCATCACTGTTTATCATACTAAGAATACTTTTAATGGTCTATTGACTATATAGCAAGGGCTGGCACATTGAGAATATGCCCCAGAAATTTAGGCAAATTTAGATGAGCTGATAAAATGCATTTCGCTCAGTTGATTTCAAGTCTTTCTTATTAAAGTTTAACTCAGTTGTCAACTTTCCAATACTCACAGGATTATTTACAAGAAAGTACATTATTGGGAATATAATTTGAATTAAAAGTGAATTTTAAATTATAGGACAAAATGGTTGAATTAGAAAATAATCTCCAATTCCGATTTTTTTTTTTTAATATGGCTTTTTGGCCTAAAATATCAAACTCCCTTTTAACTATAATTTGAATTCTCACTTTAGTGAATAACAATATCAGTGTTTAATAAGGCGTCACATAATAATATTCTCTTTTTCTTACTTGACTTTAATTTTCCACAAGACTATCTAGCAGTTCATTTCTTACTGAACACCAAACTTCTGAAGGCAACAATTAGGCTTGATTTTATAGTTCTAGCTCCTCTCAACCTACGCTTGTTAAGAGTACAAGAGCTGCTTTGAATTGCAAGGTATAAGGCCCTTTTTTGAATGAATCAGTGTAAATGTCAATTTTTGATTGAACAAGATGTGAATATTACTTATCTTCTTTGAAATATGGAATGCTATGCTGACATGTTTAAGTAACATTTCATTTAAAAAAAAAAACAGCTCTCTTGAATATGATGTTTCTCCTTTTCTACCATTGGTAGATATTTTTGTTTAATAATGCAGTTCAATAGGGGTTAAGAATACCAAGAAAAAAGATATACACCCCTGCATTACTCTGGCATATTATTCACTGATTTATTAGCATTTTCTTCACATCCTAACAATAAGCTACAAGTCTTTTATATCCCTTATAACACTTTTGTAACTCACATTTTCCTGAAAGTAATGCATTGCGTTCATGCTTATTGCTATATCAGTATACATCTTAAATTGCAGGCTTGTAGTTTTTTGTACTTATTGAGATTTCAAATCTGACTTTTTAACGTGTGTGAGAGTAAGTAGAGAAAATTGTTCGTAATACAATATGTCCTCTATACAGGTATACATTGAACTATCTATTTTATTATTAACAATTAGATTTCATTTATTTATTACTCTCATTATTATGAATATACAATGGCTTTTACTCATGTTTGGCTGAGGAAGCAAAGATGAGTTATATAAGCTGTAATAGTACAGAAAATATTTACCTTTTCCATTATGACAACAATTCTGATATCACATATTTAGCATGCCATGATAATGAATTCTGGGAACTGTGCAACTTTATTGACTGCATTCTAAAGACAAACATTTTCATGACTGATAATGGTCATTTTGTCAAAAGACGCCACATGCATTTTATCGCACAGGATAATAGAACTGGTACAAGCAACATAATTCAGTCTTATTTTCAATAAGTTACACTTTTAAAATACTTTTTATTTTTTTTTAAATAATCTTTATTGTGTCATACATCCCACTTGTAGTCCTATCCTTAATCTTTTCGTATCACCCAATAAAGCAGCAGGTTTTTAACATTTAAAGGTATGAAACCTATTGTATTCATTCCCACATCGTCTTTATGTTAACTTTATTTTGTAAATGTATTTGTAAATGCGTATAAATGTCAATAAAGATATTATAATAAAATGAAAGTAAACAAGTTAATACATTGATAGTGCATGTGCTTAGTGTTAAATATTTATGTACATTTTTAAAGCACAAAAGCATTTCATAGCACTGTAAAAAGGTTGAAGGAATCAAACAAGTAAATATATACTAAAAGACAAACATGACCAAAAGAGAGCAAGAGTTGGCAAAAACCCTGCTTAAATTAGCTGACAATGTAAACGGTGATACCCAGTATAAGTTTAAAATTTGTAATGTGTAGAATATGTAAAATGTGGTAACGTATTGTATGATAAGTAAGTGTTAGACTTTTAGTAAAACAACTTGTATGTAAATCCATTATTCATTGTCTCACAAATTTTCAATTTTCATTTGATTCAATTTGGTGTCTATTGAAAATCTAGGCATATTTCCATAAAATGCAAAGAAGTCAATCTATTTACAGCTGAAATTAAATCAAATGCACATCAGTTTCTTAAATTGTTGTCAGATGTATGGCTTTTCCTAAACTACATCAGTGTCTTTTTGAACTACACCATGAATTACTGAATGAATGAATAAAGAATGAATAAATAATATGCATAAATATACATTCATAAAAAGAATCTAATCAGGGTCATCAGTGGTGGTCTCTTTTATTCACGCTGCATTAGAGAAGAGTAGTAATTGCAGAGCTCTCTAACTCTCCAACTTAAGGCATAAAATAAGTTAATGTTGGAAACCCATACTAGTTGGGTAATTGGCTATCATAGTAGCCTCATATATTTCTTCAATCCATGTGTTGAAAGTTGAATATTAATAATATTAAAGGGTTACTTCAACTACCATGACCATTCTGTTTTTAGAACTAGTCATGGTGGTAAGAGCTGGTAAAATGCAGAATTCTGCTTGAAACACTGCACATACAGAAATATTAGCACTTTAGTGCCCTGGGCTAGTTGCATCCCCAGCATAAGTTACTTAGGTGGCCGAGAAATCTGTTCCGGGCTGCCAAATTCTGTGCATAAAAATGCATCTGTGCACGTAGAAACTGCAAGGGGAAGCTTCTCTTTTACTGCCTTAGTTTCGTATTGTTCCATTTTCAAAGTTTTTTTTTTCAAACTCTTTCCTCTGTCCACTCTCCAAAATGTGCAATCAAATCTTTCTCTATGAGAATCATTTGATTGGATCTTGTGATGGAGGCCATCATCTCTATAACATTAAAGTGGGCATGGAAACCAGCATAGGGAGCTTCGCCCAGCACTGTCTAGGAGTATTTATTTTATTTCCAAGTGCTAATGGCCTATTAAGCATACTAAATTAAAAAAAAAAACATTTTAACTACAAAGCTTTGGAATAACTACTTAAGCATTTAGGCCTTGACTTCCTCTCTGTGTGGTATAGAATATTAAACAAAGCGGGTGAGCAGCAATATGCCAGTTCTGTATGAGATAGTGTGTGAACTTGCTCCTATGCATGGTAGAGCAGTTCTTAGATCACTGCCTTAGAACTGGGAAACCTAGGTTCAAATTCTAATATGACTACCTTACCAGTAAGTGTTCTTGGGCAGACATCAAATGATATGTATCCACCTACCTTAAATTCTTATAGATTGTATAAACATTGTATGTTTATAATAATTGTAAAATACAATATATATAAATATACAATATATGAGGATTTAAGTTGGTGCTATACCATGTCTCTTTAGAGTCCTGAAAGCATACCAAGTTTTCTCAGTATCCCAACTGAACAGAACTAGGAACTGTCTAAATTCAGCACTGCTGGTGTTGATGTGACTGAGTTGAGTACTACTGTCCAAGATCATATTCCCAATCTCCAAACAAGAGTTTATGCGTTAGCTATTAAACATTGAGTGAGTAGTTAGGTGTATAGACTAGTCATGAGGCTGGGATATCTTCATTTATATCATGGAGTCTAGAGGACATCTGCATTTATTACAAAATTTGATTATAATAAAGCATTGGATCAGAGAAGAAGCAGCAACGTGGCTATGTGCACAGCAGCTATATATGCTGCCCTTCTGTTAACAGGGATCCTGGAATGTTTCCATGACTTTTCACTTTCATACACCTGTAATAAGCAAAGTATGGGAGAGTACCGCAATTGTAACTCTGTCTTGAAGCAGAAGGATTGATATCCAGGGACCCCATCGTTTTTAAATCCCTCCCTTCTTGCACACTAAATGAAGAGAAAGTCAACCATTGTATTCTAGTTATTATGGAGTCCTAGAGACCTCTGCTCTTTATTTCTTTTATAATACTGTACCTGCTCACACAACCAGAAGACCTGTCCACATTTGATCATGAATATTCATGATTTACAGTGTTTGGTTACTTTTGAAACTCGGTTATGTATTTTATGTGTTTGACCCAGCTGATTTCTGGTTCATTTCTTTGTTATTTGTTTTATTTATGCATTTATTTGATTTAGTGGTTGTCTCCTAAACATCAAGCTTCTCTGTTTTTGGTGCCACAAATGGAACATCGGATCATGAAAAAAAAAAAACCTATTTAGCCATTTTCTGTGTCATTTTGTTTGTGATATGTCCATATGGAGCTTCAGAGTTACAGAATTTAGATTGTCCACTCATCGGACAAAATTTGAATGGATTGCAGTTAGTTTGAAACCAAAGGCACATGTCTACTATTTGGTCTCTAATCAAGTTACTCTGTGTTATCCTGGGGATACTTTAGGTTCTGAATTAATTTAGTAGTTTTACTAAAATGTATTTAGCTATTTAGTTACATTTATTTAGTTCTTAGTTCTGCTGTTAATATAGGGAATTTAAACTGAAACAAAGTAACAAAATCACAGTTTTCTCCTTCGATAGCTGCAATTTGCACTGTTCGAGACTGGGTATTTATTTTCTCAGACCAGCAAAGTTATTGAACTTGTGGTGAAAATGACCATTTAAATAAACACCTATTAACAGTCTTCAAAGGATTGTGAAACTTGATCTGTCTCAGCTATGTCACACTATGTCTCTGCTAAGCAAACCTCCCCCTTCTTTGCATTTTAAATGAGGCAAGTGAAGTCCAAAGGTGATTAACATTTTTGATAATTACTTACTGATAACAACAAACTTGCCAAAAGGATATCATTCTCACAACAGAGACCTTTATCAAGGTTCAAACAGGCATTGTAGATACTAATCTTCTGCCAAACAGCTGTGTTAAGGATATCTTTAAAGTTCCTCTACATTGAAGGGTTTCTTCCTCCTAAAACCTTTATTTTCTATTATCCTTAAATCTCTCCAAATCATCTTCTCCTGTCCAACTATCTCTATCTTGTCTTGCCTATCTTGGTGGGGAAGGGTGAAACTAGATATCTCGACTTGTATAATATAAAATATATGAAGATATACATTAAAAACAAAATCGAAATGCTATATAAAAGATGTTTTAACAATGGAGGATGTCTATCGAAATGTGACGTTAAGTTGACAGTTTCAAGAAAGATAATGTTTTAAACAAACAAATATGTAGTATATAGACTGTAAGCTCGTTTGAGCAGGGTCCTCTTCAACCTATTGTTCCTGAAAGTTTTCTTGTAATTGTCCTATTTATAGTTAAATCCCCCCTCTCATAATATTGTAAAGCGCTACGGATTCTGTTGGCGCTATATAAATGGCAATAATAATAATAATAATATAGTTTTCATCACTATTTTGTAATACCAACATGTAATTTTTATGATGGATCATAAAAAACAGCTGCCAAATAAAAAGAAGAGATAAACTTACTAAGTATACTCTTCTCACTGTTTCCAAGGTTAATTTAAATAGGATATTAGGGACATTTGAAGGCTGTGCACATTATTCTAGATTGTAAAACTTCTCATTTTCTTCAGATGTCAATGCATTGCACCTTACAAAATGTTCTTTGATACATTTGTAAATTTAGTGCATGTTTATGAGGAGTTTACAGTGATTACAATTATGTGCATTTTCTAAAATTCTTTTTCTATACCAGTTGTTTTTTTTTTTTTAATGATCTTGTGTCATCTGAATGTATCATACCTAAAGTTTGGAAAATTTATAGATGACAGATCCATTTTAAGCAAGCCCATTTTTTAATAAGGAGCAAGGAAGACCCAACCAAGGCATTAAGTCAACGTAGTTTTGAACAGTAAGTGAATGGACAATAAAGGATAATATTAACTGTAAATCTCAACAAACTAGTGTACTAATAAAGAGAAAAACATACCAGGACCACAACAGATTATTATAATTTAGATTTAAAGGAACACTCCAAGCACCATAATCACTACAACCTTCTGTTGTGACTGTGGTGCCTGGTATACCCTGGTGTCATGGTCTGCTGACTACTGGTTTTCCTCCTCCCATAGTGCCAGAAGCTCCTGCAAAAAGTTTCCATTAGATCCACTGCATGGTTCATTGGGAGTGTCAACTGAACACTGCTACTGAACATCTCCCTGCACAGGGGCTAGTTTAGTGAAGGAGTTTCCAACTTCAAAGAAGGTGGCAGCGGCACCCAATTCTTTTAACATGCTATTTCATGCAAGTTATAGTTATTCTGCACATATTCACTAGTTATAACAAGTAAGGACATTATAGAACTGAGCAGATATATTCACAATTTTAATATGTTGACTGAACTAAGATGAATCCACTTACACACCAAATAATTTGTAAAAAACTTGTGGTTTTTTTGTGTGCAATACACAAAAACACCCCTACGTTTCATGTCTGTA